ATCGGGGATCTCGGACATGTTGGAAACGGGAAGATGGCGTAAAAAGAATGTGCTTTCCCAATCAGTGTCGTTGATCTCAGTGTCGACGGAATCCAGGCCTCTGCTCGCCACCATGTCATTGAACTTCTGCTCCATACACTGTCTGTAATGCTCCTTCGTCAGCTTCTCCACTTCGTCCATCAGCTCGTGTGATATCCCATGATTCACCAACTTCATTCCACAAAACCCATCAAATTAACACACTTTAATCAAATCAAATCCAATCAAATCAAAACAAAACCCATCATTCAAAAACAACTTATACCTCAAAAAATCCCCAGTTTTCGCAAGCATCGTTGATCTGCTCCATGGCAGCTCCTCTGTCTTCGCCATTAAGCTTCTCCATGTTGATAACAGGGAAATCCATCTCCATTTCTTCAAACTCTTCACTCACTCTGTTTGGATGTGGTGTGGAGTTCATGGCGCTCGCAATTTATAGGCGTGGAAGAGAGAGAAAACAAAAGGAGAAGCTAATTAGTTTTTGAATTTAAACAAATCATTCATGAAGGAGATGGAACATGCTGTGGAAGTGAAGTCACATGCAACTAATTAGAGAGAGAAACAGAGAAGAGCAAGAGTTATTAGCTTATGGATTCATGAACTAATCGTTTTTAAGACTTAATTAGTTAATTAATTAAAGGAAGTGGGCCCCTTTCTTTGTGTGTTTGTAATCGTGCGAATTGAGGTGGACCGTTGCTTTGCCACTGTGACTGTGAGTGTGTTCTGCCGGGCCCACACCCCACTATTTGACCTCTGTTTTTTACTTCCACCACTCTCAATTAACATATACTTCATAATCACTAAATATAAATCTTTAAATTAAATTTTCACTTTTTTAAAAAAATTAATTTTAAAGTACACTTTTTACTATTAACTTTTGAATGACTTGACAGCCTAATGGTTAATTAGTGTCATTTTATCTCTTCATTTTTTCCTACCTCATCAACATATTTTCGTAGTTTAAATAAATTTATTCAAAATTTTAATTAACCATAAAGTAATTTTATTTATCGGCAAAAGTATCTATTCAAAATTTTTATAAGATTTTTTTTTCTTTTCTCACTTATACATGTGTGAGGCGCAATTATGAGTCACGAGAAAGAATGAATTTAGCCTTTTAACCCATTAATTAAAGTACTTTTTTTAAACTTTATTTCGATATCATTCCTTATCTTAGAATTGGTAAAAATTCCAATACCTTTATATTACGGTGAAACTATATATTAAAAATATTTATCAATCCCAATTAACCTGCCGTAAAGTTTTGTAGCTCATAATTAAACTATTTTATAAATTTTTTTATAATCTTTTAAATTAAAATTTTATTTTAAAATTAGAGATAGACAAGCTTCCCTAGATTATCATGGGTGAGAATTTTTCTTATTAATATATGGAGTTACGTAATTAAGAAAAGTAACGTATTATAATCTATGATGTGAAGGGTAGCTTTATAAGGTAATAGGGTATTTAAAATTTTGAATTAAAAAAAACTTTATAGTTATGTGGGTATCTTGTGAATAATTCCCTATTTTTTTATTAATTAAACTAAACAATGGGCAGATGATTTCGTTTATTTCTGTGGGCTTGGACCCTTCCCCAAACTGTTGAATTAATTTTAGATCGCCATTTATTTAAAAATTGATCACGGTTTGCTGCTAATTAACTGAAATTATAATTAATTGTTGATTACTTAGACCAATACATGCCAAAGTCGAGTAATTAACTAAATTAACACAAACAATCATTGGTTAACCAACGTTCACGTGACAAACAAAATTCTGTATACATTTTGTACTCCATCCGTTCTAAAAATCAAGTTTACGGAAGATCGATCACGGGTCACAAACCTAGTCAAATTCGTTATTAGAAAGAATAATTCCCAACTAGATGCTTCGACTTTTAACGATTGAGCCACCCTAACCTTAATCTTAAGCAACTAAGATTTAGGGAAGGTGGGATTGTGGGTATACCGAGCATCATGGTGTCTGTGTTTTAAGGATGCAAAGATGGGGGAATAAAATAAAGAGGGAGGGAGATGGGGGAAGTGTAGGACCAGAAGGGCATGTTGGGGTTGGATGAAGTTTCAGGTTCCATGAACATAAGTTGTTTCCCAAATGGAACAACAGTTTATTATGAGTGGGCATTTGGTGGGTTGTTTCCTGTTTGGTCTCCCACAAAATGATTTTCCATCTCAATCAATTCTCTGCTTCACCCATGGCTGCACATGTCATGTTCCAACCCCAACTCCAACTCCAACTCCCTAATTAATTAATTAATAACACTAACTAATATTCAAAACAATATTTCTTTTTATAAATCTAAAAGCTTTTATTCCTTAAAAAATAATAATAATAATAATAATAATAAAAGTAGAAGAATAATATGGTACCATTCGGGTAGATTGGGTTTTAGGTAGTGATGGAAATTGGATGCCATTTCTTGTCACCACTTTTTATTGGAAACAAGCTTTGTGCATGTACTTCAAATTAAATATAATTATTTGATATCAAACTTGGTTTAATTCTCATAATTATCTAAAAAAATCATTTTAATATTCATCCTAATTAATTTTCACGCTAGTAAATAAAATAAAATAAAAACAGTAAAATCAGGATTCTTGGAAAATGAATTAACGGGTGCCCGATCACTCGACCTTAGATTGTGTGGGACCGTCGAATGTTTTTTTTTTTTTTTTGTTTGATATATATATGAAAAAATGGTGGTAAAAAATAAAATTATTTTGGATAGTACATGCATAGGTTGGGAAGATAGGACGATGGGTACCGAGGCAGCAAAGCACATGCAATTGTAAGGCTGTCACGTGCGACAGGATCCGAATTTCTGAGACGGGAGAATGAGCTATGCTTTTTTTTCTTCATGGTTTTGAAATAAAATTATTAGATTTTGATGAAAATATAATATTTTTTATTTTATTTTGATGAAATAAAATAAATGAAGAGAAAAGTTAAATGAGTAATAAGGTAGAAAAGACAAGAGATTCCCAGTTGAAGTGACACTAAACTTTATTGATTACTATTGTTTTTTCAGGTTGGTTGGTTGGTTGCTGTCATTCCCATCTTCCCCATGCATAATTCCCCACCCAATTAATTGAAAAGCCCAATTCAAATTAATTGAAAAGCCCAATATGGGCCCATGAGTTTCGTTGGCCCACTTTGAAAAGGGCCGACGAAGCCCATCAAAACTTTGGAAGTAAAATTATTATTATAAAAAAGAGAGAGAGAGAGAGTAGTAGCGGTTGTTGTTCAATCCGATGTATAAAAGGTTTAAATTAATCTAATACATCGAAACTATTAATTAAGTATTTTTCTCGGAGGTGAAAACGTTTGGTTACTCGCATCCGATACGGCGTCGTTCAGCACCGTCCAATGAAAACACTCTGTCTCGGATCTTGAGGCAAAAGCACTTCCTAGTTCCTCTCCCCGTCGCCAATAATCCTCTGTTCTAATCTGCATCATACTTCTCGTGGTGCTTCAAAATATATCAAGAATCTCGAGGATCGGACGGTTGCAAAGTGGGCATGATCCTCGATTCAACCACAGCTCCCTCGAACACACCCTGCAAAATGTGTGTCCACATGGGATAAATGCTGCTCCCTTTTTCCTCCCCATGCAGACGCAGCACACCGAATCATTTCTCGCCTCTTCTATCTTTTTTTCCGTCACTCCCAAATTCCCACCATCGCCACCGCCACCGTCTGTTTCTTCCAGCAGCCGCATCAGTGACACCCTCAACGGCGTTCCGCTTCCCATCATTCCAGCAAATGAATCGAACTCGGTGCTGGATTCCACAAAACCCTCCTCCGTTCCACGTGGCGACTCTCTCAAACGACGCTCCGCTGCCAGAGCGGTGGCCAAGTTCATACCGGACGACGCTGGCGACGAAATGTTAAACGGACTCAAGCAACGGAGATCCAACTCCCTTCCCTCCGGAAATTGTGGCGTGTTCATCACCTCCACATCCGGTTCAATCCGGTCGTCGTCGTCGTCATCGTCATCGCCGCCTCTAACACTTACCGTGGCCGGCCGGAAACCCCAAGTAGCACCACAACAGCGCATGACTTTAAACCCTAGCCGTTGCTTCAAACTCCGCCGTTGCCGCCGCCTCCCTCCATCGTCACCGTCCATTTGATCGCTGAAAAATCCCCAAATCGTCCTAGCCTCCCTTTCTCGCCTGGCCGCTTCCTGTAAAATCAAACTGAGAAGATTCATTTTCCCGATCTCTAAATTTCGAAGGAACAAAATCCAAAATGGAATTCAACACAACAACGGCATTGGGGGGGAAATGTAAATAGTTGGGATTAGGAATTATGATTACCTTTAGCCATGGAGATCTCGTGAGCTTCTTCAAAGATTCTGATGAAACCCACCTCTCTGTATTAAAACTCCTCTCGGAGCCCCGGAAAGGGGAAGGGTCCTAAGGGGAAAATAAAAAGCCTCCAGGGTCTCAAATGCAAATCTTAATTTTAATTAAGAGAGTAGAGAATAAGACAAATTTTGTTGATTAATTAATGATTTTAATTAAGTTTTGGATTAATTCAAAATATATTTAAAAACATGTCTATAATTAATTGTTTTATATTTCTTTTTTATAAACACGAGTTGCACGACACTTTCTTAATAATTATTCCGTTTTTAATTAATTCATAGCTGGTTTTATATATGGTCTTAGAAATAAATGCGTGTTTAATTGATATTAAGAGTACCCTGAATTAATTAATTTCGCGCCTCATATGCTAAGCTACCGTCTCCCTCCTGAATGCACCACGTGTTCCAATCTTAACACACCACATTTTGTGTAATTATCAAATAGCCATTACTTTCATAAGGTCCAATTTGCCCTTGAAAATATTGATAGGTTTCAAGACAGTCGTGAAGATCAGGGGTATAATCGTCTTCTTGTTTCATTTCGCATCTATTTAATCGTCCCTCTCGTTTGCTTGAATTGGAATGGTATTTGAGACGTAGCTGTTGTGGAAGTCCTCGTCTTTCAATTTGTGCTGTGTGTTTGTTTGTCTGAGTTCGGTAAAATAGAGAGAAAAAAATGGCGTTTGTTTCTCAATTCAATCAACTTCCGTGCAAGACTCTCTCACTGAATCCACCGCAACCTCAGCCGATTTCTAAGCCATCGATTTTCCCCATCAGCTCGATTGGGGCCGGAGCCAGAGTAGCGGCGGGGAAGTCGGCAATCTCGGCTAGACCTGCGTTCAAGATCCGTGCGGTGGGGAACGATGACGAGTGGGGGGAGGAGAAGGTGGAGCCTTACGATGATGGTTCGGCTGTTGCGGTCGCTGAAGAGGAGCCTCTGGAGCAATCGGAGATCTATAAACTGAAGAAGGCGTTGGTGGACTCGTTTTACGGGACCGATCGTGGATTAAGAGCGTCTAGCGAAACTAGAGCGGAGATTGTGGAGCTGATTACGCAACTGGAAGCGAAGAACCCTACACCAGCTCCTACGGAGGCCCTAACTCTGCTCAACGGCAAATGGATTCTCGCGTAAGTGCCCTAATCATATCGTAACCTAGTTTGTTATTTCTCTTAACAGTGCAGTTTATAAACGGCTTCCTCTAATACTATATGAACGAACAAGTTTAATCGAATTTCTGGATTTCTCTGATGGGATTTGAAACTTGAAATTCAGGTGATTGTAACTTCCCTAACATCTTGTTTTGTATAAATTTCTTTAAAGGCTGTTTCTAGTACTTTTGGAAGCGTTTCTGCATTAGAAATTTGTTGTCATCCTAGGCTTCTCAACATGAATATTTGGGGTTTGTAGGTACACATCGTTCTCGGGTCTGTTCCCATTGTTGTCTAGGAGTACATTTCCATTGGTGAAAGTGGAAGAAATTTCACAGACAATTGATTCAGAGAGCTTCACTGTTCAAAACTCTGTCCAGTTTTCTGGCCCTCTGGCTACCACTTCCATTAGTACTAATGCAAAGTTTGAAGTTCGAAGTCCTCAGCGCGTACAGGTAAAGCTAGAACAAATCTGCCTTTGACCCGGCAGTCTGAACCCAGAAAAGTTAGGATTTTCTCGTCTGTTTGGGGATTTCAACTCTTTTGACTTTGTAATCAGCTAATATTTGCTTTTCCCACAACTATGTTTCCAGATCAAGTTTGAAGAAGGCGTCATTGGGACACCCCAGCTGACGGATTCAATAGTGATACCAGAGAATGTGGAGTTTCTTGGACAAAAGATCGATCTTTCACCATTCAATGGCATCATATCCTCCATCCAAAACACTGCTTCAAATGTGGCGAAGACAATTTCTAGCCAACCACCAATCAAGTTCTCGATCCCAAACACGAAACCAGAGTCGTGGTTGCTAACTACTTATCTCGACGAAGATCTTCGAATTTCACGGGGAGATGTTGGTAGTGTGTTCGTACTCATCAAGGAAGGCAGCGCTCTCTTATCACCCTGATCAAATACTATTATTGTCTTTGCTAAGGGAATGTTGTTTAAAGGGTTCATAGGAAAACTAAATTGTTATCTAAAGATGGTGTAGCAAGTGTTGTAGTTGAACCACATATAGTAAATGGTATCGCCTGCTGTTTAAATGGCCAGCTTCAGTTAGCCATGCCTTCTTTTACATTGTAGTCACTTAACATTTGGATCGAAGTGGTAGTGGAAATGACCCTTTTGATCTGATCACACATCTCCTTCAACATGGAGACAAGGGATTCTTCGCGATTAAGTTCGTCAATCATGCACATCAGGTCATACAAGCCATTCAATTGGTTTTGGATTGTTTTGATCAAGTCACAATCACAATCACAATCAGTTTATTTTTTTAATTTCTCTGTTCTAACGAGAGAACTATAATCGAGCAGGATTTTAATCCACCCATTAAAAGTCCAGAGCTTTCCAGAATCCAAATTACTTTTCCAAAATTCGTTTAGAAACAATGCTAAATTTTTGTTCCATAACTCAGAAACAAATTACAGCATACTTCATGGAATACCTCTAAAATGACGCCATGACATTCATCGGAGTTCATGGAGATATAACAGTTCAAAAGACTACGTAGATCCTTTGGCTTCTCAATTCCATTAGAGCATTTCTCCATAGCCACCATTACAACAAATTTGGTCTCTTCAATTCTCTGCTTTTCCCTGATCATTTGGTCCATGGCGTGGGAAATGCTGGAGTCTGATGGGAATCGCTCAGAGCCGAAGCTTTCAGTTTCTTCTGAAGAAGAAAATCTCAGCCTGCAATGGCAAGTGCATCGACAGCACAAGGCTCTGTATGCTCTCTGTTCTTGGCGATGCCGCTGGCTTGAGCCTGCTGCATTCATTCTCGGTGCTTTGAAGGGAAATTCAAGGCCAAAACAATCATTTATGCACAATTGGAAAAGTGGGTCTTCTTTTTAGTATTAGAAATGGTTTGAAGTTGTGATCTTTAGAACAGGTAATGATGGTGCTCAAGTAGACCTCTAATACTTTCCTTTTGAGAAACTGTTGTTCAGTGTATCTATGTGGCGGCTGAGGGATGCTGATTTGAATAAGAGTGGCTGATGCGTTGTAACAAAAGAAGCATGGAACGACGCCGTTTCGTCCCCTCTTAGGCCCAGATCCATCAGCCATGGGCTCGTTACGGGCTTACTTGATACATGGGCTGAGAGGTTTGGGCCTGGAATTGAAGGCCCATACTGCTGAAAAGCGACCCACAGAATCAAACTAGGCATCCTAAACCAGCCCCAGGTAATAGTAATGTACCCAATGTCCAATGTCCGGGAGAGAGCTGTCAACGCATCAAAGGAAAGAGTCCAAACTGAATTATTACTTTTCCATTTTCCAACACAGTTTCGGTTCAGCATGGTAATGTCCAGCTCCGACAATTCGCTATATTTCAGGCGTTTAACCACCGGTGTCGAGCATCATAGTCTCAGCCTCTCGCACCATCACTTTCTCTGGTGTTCGTGCTTGCTCTAGTTATACAATGCCAAGTTCTATCGTCTCCAATGGTGAAGCCGCCGTCAAATCTTCTCCTGCGGCGGTGTCCGGACGGGTCTCCTCAGTGTATGCTGAAGTTCAGTCCAGTCGTATCGACCAAAATCTGCCTCTGCCTTCTGTTTTCAGAAGTTCCTTCACGATCGTCGATGGACCCCCTAGCTCTGCCGCTGGCAATCCAGGTACTCTGTTCTATTGCATGCTCTCGGGATCTGTGTATGTATCACTTTTGTTTCATCTTGTAGTGTTTATTATTACTTTTGATCCTTGAAGAATCTGGTTGCTGCTTGCTGAATCAGGAAATGAGTTTTTAGCAATTTTAAGTGTCTGTTCGATTTTGTTCGATCGAATGGGAACATTAAAAATGGAAGCAGTTGCTTACGCTTCAGAGTTTTCTGTTCACTCAAAACATATTTTGGTGTCTGTTTCTGATTTCATAGACATACGTGAATTTTTGCGATGCATGAGCCTTGTATCTCCTTCCATTATTCCTATGCATGGCTTTGGAAGGAGGACTACAATTTAGGCGTTTTATTAATCTTCTTTGCGTTTGTTTTAAGCAGACGAGATAGCCAAGCTATTTCCTAATCTTTTCGGCCAACCATCGGCAAAATTGGTACCAAGCAAATCCAACAAAGCTCAATCGGACAAGAAGTTGAAGATTGGTGTCGTGTTGTCTGGAGGGCAGGCCCCCGGAGGACATAACGTGATTTCCGGAATTTTTGGTAACGATTATTTTACATTTACTGAATTAAATCTGATAATTCTACGCTAATCTACTTTCTAATCATGTTTCTTTTATTATTTGGATTTGAGTGATTTTAAATCTGTGTTGGCCATAGATTACTTGCAGGATCATGTCAAAGGCAGTGTATTATATGGCTTCAAGGGTGGTCCTGCCGGGATTATGAAATGTAATTATGTGGAATTGACTGCAGAATATATTTATCCATATAGAAATCAGGTAAACCTATAGAGTGCTTCACAACTTTAAACATTTAAATACTAGTAACGATGTTGACCTCTAATGGATTTCGGTACTCTATGTTAATACTTGGTTATCATACATCACTATGTAAAATAAGTTAACTGGTGCATGAGCATAATTGATGCTGGTTATTGAGATCTTTTCAGGGTGGATTTGATATGATATGCAGTGGGAGGGACAAATTTGAAACAACAGAGCAGGTGAGAGTCTGTTTCTTTTCCACGGTCAGACATTATACTGAAGTGACTTGGATATATGAACTTAGTTGAGTGGGCTTAATTTTTCAGTTCAAACAAGCTGAAGAAACTGCAAAAAAGCTTGATTTGGATGGGATTGTTGTGATTGGTGGAGATGATTCCAATACAAATGCCTGCCTTCTTGCTGAAAACTTCAGGTGGACTGCTCTATTTAAGAAAATTTGCTTTTCCGTACATCGTTTTAGTTTTTCTATCATATGTTTTGTGAAGTAATACCTCTTCTTTTGATCAGGAGTAAAAATTTGAAGACCCGGGTTATTGGTTGCCCCAAAACAATTGATGGAGATCTAAAATGCAAAGAGGTGCCCATAAGTTTCGGATTTGATACAGCTTGCAGGGTAACTAACCATTTCTCTCGTTGAATTCTTAACATGGTGTTAATTCTTTTGATGTAAACTACACATCATTGCCCTATGATTGTTCGAATGTTTTTTAAAATTTTGTTCTTGTTGTGGTAATTACTTTGCAGAGAGAATAAAGTTGTCTGGGTTTTACAGTTTTACTAGATTGGATTTGCACTACGTTGTTCATTTGCCACTATTAAAGAAGTTCATGTTTCTAATGTGGCAGATTTATGCAGAAATGATTGGTAATGTCATGATAGATGCTAGATCAACTGGAAAATATTATCATTGTAAGTATATCGATACTCAAATTAAGAACCATGGTGTTGTCATTCAATCATATGTTGTGTGCCGCGATGGAAATCCATTTGCTATTGTCTGGAGTGGTGGTTCACACAGTTTATAATTGGTACCTTATGGATTAAAATAATCATCAATAATACCGCACGTATGATTCTGATATTTGATAACAGTTTCTATTGTTCTTTGAAAACATTAAGAAAGTCGTATATCTTTACTTAACAGATTAAAATGTTATTTTTTTTTTAAATCTATTCATAATGCTTATTTACGTTGTGGATACATTTATTTATCAGCTAATAAACTGTTTGATGCCTCAAGAAAGAGGCATTTACGAGTTGTTATGTTAGTACATAGTTCTAAATAAGCGCTTTAGCATGCATGTGGATCATTGATTTCTTTTTACTTTGTCTTATTTCTCTTAGCATATTATTTGATTTGTGAATCTGCAGTTGTGAGGCTTATGGGACGTGCTGCTTCACACATCACCCTAGAGTGTGCTCTGCAGACTCATCCAAATATTACTATTATTGGGGAAGAGGTACTATTAACTTCTTGTCAGCTGCATTTTTAATTATGTTTTTTTTTTTTTTTGTTGGAAAAGGAACAAGATTTTTATCTGTGGTGTCCTCACATAATACTCTCGCTCATTGCAAGTGATTCTAAATGCTCGACTTGTGTCATCTTTTATGTATGGACTTTCTTAAAACTTTATGATTGATTGTGGGAATCTCTGGTCGATGGTTATACATTTTGCTGCAGAAGAGGCTACAGTGTTCCTTACTACTAGGATTGATTTGCTGCAGGTTTCTGCTCAAAAGCAAACGCTGAAAAGTGTTACAGATTACATTGTAGATGTAGTCTGCAAACGTGCAGAACTTGGTTTTAATTATGGTGTTATACTTATTCCGGAAGGCCTTATTGACTTCATCCCGGAGGTATTATTCTTGTTCGCAAAATCGGCAATGGCTGTCTTATTATCTTCATTCTTAGCTGTGTTTAATGAAACTATATGTTGCTCTTGAATGCCTTTCAGGTACAGCAACTTATTGCAGAGCTAAATGAAATTCTGGCCCATGAAATAGTTGATGATGAAGGATTATGGAAAAAGAAACTCACTAGTCAATCTCTTGAACTTTTTGAGCTCTTGCCTCGAGCAATCCAAGAACAATTGATGCTCGAGAGAGATCCACATGGAAATGTTCAGGTAATTTTTTTTCCCATCTGTTTTTGTTTTGATACCCAGGTGCTGGTGTTTCTTGGTTAGATATGATATTTTTCTTCTTTTCTTGTTTAGGTAGCTAAAATAGAAACAGAGAAAATGCTCATTCAGATGGTTGAAACAGAGTTGGAGAAGAGGAAGAGAGAAAGTGCATACAATCGTCAATTTAAAGGGCAATCTCACTTTTTTGGGTAAGTATTCTTCTCATTATTTGAGAACTGCAGTTCACTTTCTTTCTCTCTTTCTTTTCCTTTTGTTGGAGTTCCACGGCAACACTTGTGCGTCAAACTTGCAGATATGAAGGGAGGTGTGGTCTACCAACCAATTTCGATTCCACTTACTGCTATGCATTGGGTTATGGTGCTGGAGCTCTCCTGCAGAGTGGAAAAACTGGACTAATATCATCTGTCTGTCCTATTCTCTGCTCATTTTATCTTCAATATCTCTGCAAACACTTCCATCAAATATCAGTTTCCTGTTATTCCTAATTTTTTTGGCTGTGTTTGTCAATAATTTGTTGGTAAATATTTGTGCATACTATGTGTATCTGCCAGGTGGGGAACTTAGCTGCTCCCGTTGAAGAATGGACTGTTGGTGGGACTTCATTGACATCATTAATGGATGTGGAGAGGAGACATGGTAGACTACAGCTTGCTATCTTAATCACTCTGTTATCTCTATCATGCATGGTCTTAATTTTAGTCTTCTTGTGGTTTCCTTCAACCCCCTTCGTTTGCATGCTCCCTCAAAGTGGTTTGTCCATTTTCATAAAGAATGTGTGAAAATTCTAAGGTTCAGAATTAGCTCTTTCTTTAGATCTCAAGGATAAAGTTGTACAACCCTTGGAACAGGTCCTGTTCAAGGTCGTAGAAATGACCCTTTCTTGCAAGTCATCTTTAAGAAAGGTGCTACCAAATGTATACCCGTACATTACAGGTCAAACATAAACAAAATACTTTGGGTCAGTGTGTCTGCTTGGCATAAATTTAAACGAAAGTCCAGCATCTATTGTTCTGGAGCTTTGAACTTCTAGTAACATTAATGATACAAAAGGCCCTATTTCAATAATTGGTTTCTTTTTGGTTCATGATAACTTCATCATTATGGGACGCGGCTTAGCCCGAGGGTTCTTGAATCCTAGTCCAAATGTATTTAGCCGTTGCGGTCAAATGATTTGATTTTCATATACTTGTGTTAGCACTGAAGTTGTATTTTTGTGACAGGCAAATTTAAGCCTGTGATTAAGAAGGCAATGGTCGAGCTCGATGGTAAGAACTGTGAAGGGAAACTTTTTTTTTTCTTTTGTGTAATACTAGAATAGTGTCTTCCTGTTGTCATACTGACCAATCACTTTCATGTACCTATCTGCTACTGGAAAAAACTAAGCAATAATGTCCGATTCATTCATGAATTATCAGGTACCCCTTTCAAGAAGTTTGCATCATTGAGGGATGAGTGGGCATTCAACAACCGATACATTAGTCCTGGTTAGAAAACATTCAACTTCTATCTTTCTCTGATTCCTGTCCGCTCTTAACAAAAAGAGAACAATCTCCTTGTCATGTTCTTCAGCTGGCTGTCATTTAATTTGTTTTCCCCTTTGCATTTACTAATATTTAAATGAGGGTGTTAAAAAAAACATGTCAATGATGCCTTAAAGATGAGAAAAGCATGCACTGTTTCGATTAAATTGTGACATTCTTCCTAATTGAAATTTCAGGTCCTATTCAATTTGTGGGTCCTGCATCAAATGCTATTAATCACACTCTCCTCCTGGAGCTTGGAGCTGGAGCTTAAAGATAACTCCTTACCCAGTAGTTTCGACCCAAAATTTATTTCTTGAGGAAGCTTAAAGCCTGTTATGGCCTTTTTATGGGATATTTTAGGAACCTAGTTTTCTTTAACTTCAGCTTGATTAGCATTGCTCGGTGGCGTAAGATGCTAATAAAAAATCGCCACTGTTTTGGGGTATGATATGAGTTCTGCAAGTTTAATGGGTTCTGACCATTAAATTTTTTTGAGGGATAGGGTTGCTGTCCAAGGACCAAATGTTAAAATTTCCAAGATTATCTGACTATGACTGCATACCAGTTCAAATAATGGAAATCGCCTAACATATTTGAATAAATTGATTCGACTTCTCCACTTTATAATAAAACAAACATGGATTTGAAATGTTTTATATTTTCTTGAATGAAAGATTTGAAATGTATCTCATAGGGTCTGATCTAATATTCTTAATCTACATACTGCAGACAGGAGAGGAGATTCTTCTCAACTTTATTTGTTTCTCTCTCTCTCTCTCTCTGGTGTATGAAGGTACCTCAACCTATCTCTCTCTTTGATACACTACTTTTTTGGTTACTGTGCTTCAATTAGAGAGAGAAACTGATAAAAAGGTCAAAAAGAAGACATTGATCCAAGTGATTGAACTGAACTGCCTGATCACAACCCCTAAACTTCAAATCCAGTGTCTGATATGATTCAGAAGTTGGACTTTCTTTTAGTTGCCATCTTGTTATTGTTGAAGGCTTAATGATTTGAATTTTGACTCTAAAGTTTAAAGTCTCTGAGCATCTGTGGTCGATTCAGTCTGCCCCAACTGGGTCCACTCCCTACCCATTAGCAGCTAGCTTCTGTGTAACCTGCAAAATGGTTTAAATCCAAAAGCACAGATTTTCCTTTTCGCCTTTTCTGTCCCCTTCTTTCCTTTTTCCTTTCTTAAATCCCCAAATGTAAAAGATTTAAAATGCTTAAACAAATGTTTGGCATTTGCTTTTGCCATGTTTCGAGCTTCTAACGAGAAGTTATCACGTGCTTCCCTCCCATTTTGGCATCATGTAATCACCCCTCTCATCACACAGCAACTCCACATGATTGCTTGCTTTGCTGATCCATCTAATAAAAACCCAATTCCTTGATTAGATAATAATGCAAATCCTCAATCAAAATCCGTTGCTTTCTCCTTTATCCTTTTCAAATATTATCAAATGGGGTTCTATGAAGCTACCCTTTTGATTCTTCTTTTGTTTTCAGGAAAAATCAAAGCTAAAAAGAGGACCCCCACATGCCAAAATCCCAACTCAATTATTGAAATGGACCCAATTAAAGAAGTGGAGAAACAAATTGCATGCAGCTAATGATTCAGCAATAAAGAAGACAAGCCGCGGAGAACGGGAAAAGGCCATGTATTGCGCAGTGGTGTGCATGTGAGACCAAATCAACTGACTTGTTGCAGAGATTGTTTGAGAGACTCCAACGTTAATTTAAATGGCAAATTGGAAGCGCAGAGAAGAAGAAGAAAAACATCTTAATTGGATCTTTTATGGCATTCGATTCAAGTTGTAGTGCTACCTGCTCATGCTTCTACTCCACTGGAGTGGTAACATAAGTCCTAAACTTCTCAACCTAAGCTAACCGTTTTCGAAGATTTTTCATATTTTGATGAACATCGGAATTGTTAGATCCCACATTAGTTGGAGAGGCATAAAATATTTCTGATTAGGGCGTGAAAACTAGAGTAACGATGATGAATGTAAGATCTCACAATTTTTTTTAAAATTTTTAATATTTTAAAAAGAGAACTTGTGATTAGGGTGGAGCCATGTTGTGCAAACAAACTCACTTTAATGGTAATTATAAGTATGAAACTTTAGGCAAAAAAAATTAAAGGAAAAATGGACACAATGTATGAAGACAACTGAAAACTTTATTGCTGGCTCTTCATATTATACTTATGCTAATTTGTTTTATATGGTAACTCATGTACAGCTCCTACGAAAACGACATCGTTTAAATGCGCTATGACCCTATGAAAGTCATAGCTTTGGAGCTATCCGAATACCCGATTAAAAATGTCTCATTTTCAACCATTGGTTCTTTTTCTCAAGAATGCAGCGATAAGAAATCTTCATTTCCTACCTTTGGATCTCTCTCTCTCAGGAATGCAATTTTTGAATATAGAAACCCATTATTACACTACCAAATTACTTATATAATCTCATATTTATTTCACATTTAGAATATAAATACACAATATTGACTAAGAATTATTGTATTATTTGGGGTGTGTTTGGGTACGCACTATAACCCAAACCAAATCCAGTTTAACTTTTTGCATGTGGTGCATACCCATTCAACTACACTACACTTTATTTATTTATTTATTTTTATAACTGGATTAATAATTTGCTGATGCGTGCAAGAAATTAAGTATGGTAATTAAATGATTACTTAACCAATTTGAGATGAAATTATGGCGTTGAATAATATTATTATATAGATTAACCAATTTCATTCAATTACTAAATTGTGGTTTATGCATATTTTAAGGCTTAATTTGTAATAATTCAATTTGAATGTAGTACAAGAGAAAGCAGCCATGATGGGTGACATTTCCAGGAAACTAATTATTTATTTTCCAAACAAATAAAAATTACTAAAATACTAATTTTGGGAAATTGAGATTTTAAAAATATTATATAAAACCCAAGAAAATATTGGTTCGTCGTCGTCGTCGTCGAGTGGTACCCCCAACTTCTCTGTTTCTCTCTCAGTTTTTATTCTGATTTGTTGATTGGAGTTCGTAGGGTCCCCTTTTCTGAGCTCTCAGCTCACACACCACTCCCAACCGGCTGAAGAATCTTCATCTTTTTCCCTCATGGAGATTCCGCCGCCCACCGGCAGCTTCCCCACGTCGCCGGAGTTCGAGTTTTGGATGGTCCGGAACCCCTCTTGCCCTCAGCCTAATCTCCTCTCTGCCGATGAGCTCTTCGTCGACGGTGTTCTTCTTCCACTTCACCTTGTATCCAACCATTGTACCTCTCAATCTAACGAACCTAACCCGAAAACTGACCCGGAGCCTCCTCCTTCCGAACCCGATCCATGCGACGGCCCCAAATTGATGCGCGTTTCGGCGGAAACGGGTTCTTCGTTAACCTCGTCGCAGCGGTGGAACATTTTCAAGAAAAGCGAAAAGAAGAACGCCTCGGGTTGTCAGGAGGATCGAGAGAAGGAGAAGAAGAAAGAGAAGAAGACTGGAAATGGGTCTTCATCGGCCGAGTTAAACATCAATATTTGGCCATTTTCGCGTAGCAGATCCGCCGGGAATACTTTCACTAGGCCTAAAATTTTCACCGGCGGCCAACCCGGATCCCGGAAGTTTAACAGTGCGCCGTGTTCTCGCAGCAACTCCGCCGGTGAATCCAAGTCCAGGAAGTGGCCGAGCAGCCCAAGTCACACCGGAGTCCATTTGGGTCGGAGTAGCCCGGTGTGGCAGGTCCGGCGCGGCGGATCCACCGTCAAAACCTCCGAAACTCTCTCTCGCAACGCCGAAAAAACTGCCCGGAAAGAACCCACGGACGCCCACCGAAGCAAGGCCGCCGCCGCCTCTGGAGTAAGAGTTTTGAATTTGAATGTCCCCATGTGTATTGGGTACAGAAACCACTTGAGCTGTAGAAGCGACGAGACCAGTGGACTTGGGGCTGTTGGCAGCGGTGGTGGCAGAAGCAGCAGCAGCAGCGGCGTAGACGGCGGCAGCCATGGTTCCGACAACAACGGAAACGGCGGCAGTGTTAGTAATCCTGGAAATTCAAGTAGTTCTACCAATCTCTTTAGCATAAGAAGCCTTTTCACTAAGAAAGTGCATTAACAGTCTCATGATAAAAGGATTCTCCATTTTCAAACGCATTATTGTATAGGAAGCTCCCCCTGGTCTCGAACTTTTTGCATCTCTATGTAATTAACCAAAAGTATTAGCCATCTGAGTTCTGACGCTACTTAATTTATCAGCTCTGTACACAGTTTCGCTGTCTGTTACTGTAATTTCAATCAACTCATTTAAAAAATTAAACTCCCCCCATTTGGATTCATCTCTTTGTTTCAACCAATTTCTTGGATTGAATGAATGCGATTCTGGAGGTTTCTTTGTCAAGGCTTCATGGGGTTTTCTTTTTCTTCTGTTCTTGTTTCTTCATCATTACGAGGACCACCAATTGTCACCCTCTTAGCTTTTGTCTTGTAATCCATGGCTGATTCTGTTCTTGCGGGGGAAAAGAATAGACCAATCCATATCTTTTATCTTAATTCCTATCTATCTTTTCAAACCACGCCCTTACAATTCTGTACTGAAACTGTAATACAGTAACTCTGGCTTGTTGCCCATGGAAACCAATACGTAAATAAGTTGTCATTGTTCTTTTTTCTCTGGCTATTATTTACCCTGTCTATACATATGAGTTTCCCAGGACATTCTCCTGTTCAAGTTTTCCCCCAAGTTTTGCTTTCCAGAAGAACAAGACTGTGCCAAATCACAGTAGTGTCTTCTCAAGCCTACCACACAGTGGTAGCAACACAAGGCGAGAGATCCCATGTTTGGAACGAAGTCTCCCTTAGCATATGCATTTTAAAATTGTGAGGCTGACGACGATACGTAATGGGTCAAAGTCAGTTAATGACACTAGTTAACATAGGACTAGACCCTTTCCATAATAAACACGTTTTAAAATCGTGAGTCTGACGGCGGTACGGGCTTGGACTGTTAGAAATGGTATTAGAGCCATACATTAGGTGGTGTGACAGCGAGGACGATGAGCTCTTAAGAATGGTGGATTATGAGATCCCACATCGATTAAAGAGAAAAACGAAACATTTTTTATAAGAATGCAAATCTTTCTCTAGAAGATGCGTATTAAAATGGTGACTCACAATTAGATTTTGTTTATCCTTCATGCTTGTGGCTGGCAGTGGCAGTGGCACTACTTAACCAAGTGTAGAATGACACATTTGTTGTTATAATATTTGGACAGGTGGTGTCAATTTAGATGAAGTGATATGATATGCCACTCACTCTTCAAACCCATATCAACTATATTTATTAAATTAGTGAATGTAAACAAATTAAGCGTTGGGATTAATCTAATTTAACACTAATTACATGATGTAACTAATCTTCATTACATTTACTACATCATACCATTTCGTCATGCAAAACAAAAACCAGTTAAGATTTAGATAAGCTATATACAAAATGTGGTGTTTATTTTATATAATACTTACCCAACTCATGCATCGATGCATTCTGAGTTGGGCCAGCTTAGTGGGCTAAACAAAAGTTCCATACTCGAGCCCAATACGTAGAAGTGGTTCGGCGTCTGGCTCAAATTCACACTTCTCTTCGTCCTGCGCAGTATTCGCTACTCCGGCATGCCGACCCTTTGCTCAGGGTGCTTGTCCGCGTTTGTATTTGATAATGCAAAGAATTTGAGTTCATAACGCAGCGAAGCTTGAGTTCACAATTCGCTGGTGGAATCGTTTGAAAGCAAATCAAGGGAAAAGTCTATGCAGATGCCGTCTTACGAAGAATCTATGTCTAGCGCTGTAAGGATGTAATGATCTCTATATCTTCTTTCTTTTTGCTTCACTTTGCATGTATATTCAGAATGTGTGGAAGGGGGAATCAAAGGCAAACTACCCGTCTTTTATTTGGTCGAGCCCTAATTCGTAGAGTTCTTTTTGGTGGCTATAGCCTCTCTTTCTGGGTTTCTTTTTACAGATAATTCGAGGGAAAGCGTCGAAAAACGGAGAACATGGAATACTTTCACCCCTTTAATCATATTTGGGGTTTACCAAGATCAATAAAATATTCTGATAACTTCGGTTTGCAACTAAGTTACAAGTGCTTAAGATCGCTTGCTGCAACAGAGTCGGTGAGAAAGTGGTTCATGTTCGGAAAGAAAAGCCTACCGATCTCTGAGATTGGAATCTTTGGTCTGAGTTTCTAGGGACCTGGACTGAACCACTTAAAGAGATGTTTTGTTTCATTGCTAGATCATTAAATGGGCCTTGATATAGTTGGAGGCCCGAAGAAGTATCAATTTAGAAACCAAGAACAGTGAATTCTATTCTATTCTTTCAGGGATTGAAGAAATTACAGATTGAAGGTTCTTAGTTTATAGACATAACAAGATTACAGATTCAAGTTCTTGCGATTGCATTGATTTGAGTATTTAGTTATGTAGCCCAAGTTTAAGAACTAAATTTCATCATCCACCTGTTCTTCATGGGAGAGGATTATTATGTTGGAGAAACTAAGGAAGCAGGGGACGGTGTGGGGGGAAGAAGGTTGTGGTGTGAGTCCATTATTCAAACCCTTCTGGCTTCTGTAGAGACTCGGCTAATGTGTGGAAGAAACATTGGCATTATCCTCGGCTCAGCGTAGGTTGACTGATGCGACACCGCATGATACGACGTTTAATTTAGCACCGCATGATCAGTGCCCACTAGTGCTTTTCATTAATGTGCCTGTCTGCTCTCGAGGGTGCCATGGAAATATGAACCTGCAATTTGTGGGACTTGTTGTACGTTCAATACAACTTCAGCCCCATTTATGCCAATTCATCTCCTCTTTAAACACTCCATTTCCAGAAAACTTACTGAAATTGAACAGGGGATTTGGTTCCTTCCCCCGTTGGCACATAGAGGAGGAGGAGGAGGAAGAAGTGAGCTAGTTGGTTAAAAAGGAATAGATTTTGAGGTATTGATGCTGGTTCAGAGGGTTCATGTTCATAACGAATAGCACACATAAATTAAATTCATGGTAGTGGCAGTAATTAGTCAAGAGTCATGTCATTGTCGGCCAACAGAACAATTTGTGGTACTATCTTTATAACCCTCTTTGTTTTTTGATGGTTTGGTCGAAGAAGGGCCCTTTAATATATGCCTGAAACCATGTGCTTGCCTTGCCACTCACTTTGAGCAATATACCTTCCAAAATATCAAAGATACCAACTCACAGTCATCCCAAATCCCTTAGTTTCTGAAACCAAACTCACAAGTGTTTTTGTTTCATTATGTTTTTAGGCAAGCATGCATTCCAGTTCTCAAGTGTTATATTCATTAATGGAGGATGATGAGATGTGTGGGGTTTTTTTTCTCTCTCTCCCTTTTTGTGTGGTGCACAGAGATAAGCGCAAAAGGAGGAGCTGTGACCCACCATAATTCCAACTCTTTTCATTTGGTTTGTTTTTTTTCCCCTAAATATGAAAAGTATTGCCCTTGAAATGCCTAAAGTATTGATTCAATTATTAAATCATGATCTTCCTCTAGATATGGTATTTCTTTCTTTTTTTTCAAAATGCTCACTGAGAAGTTCCTGTCGCTGGGGAAACAGGGGGAAACAATGACACTAACAGTTGGAGTTGGAGGGTTATTTTCAAAGAATCACTTTTTACTTCACTGTCCATGTCAAAAAATTCACAACTTTGTGAAATTATTCTCTCAAAAGTCATAAATCCCATGTTGTGTTCAGTTTGTAATGGTAACCTCATTCTTAATAGATATTTATTTTCTTTCTTTCTGCTTTTCTTTTCGATCTTCCCTTCAAGTTTTTTAAACACCATTATAAACAATGTTTTGTTCCTCTAGTCTACAATCAACGTGGGATTCTCACAATTCTCTCTTTCGAAGCTCAACGTTCTCGTTAGCACTCTTTACTCTCTCCAATTGATGTGCAATCTCACAATCCCTTTATTTGTAGTCTAGCATTCTCACTGGTCTTAGTTATTCTCTCTAATCGATGTGAGATCTCACCATCCACCTCCTTTCGAGCCTCAGAATCCTTGTAGGAACACTACCCAGTGTTCACCTCTTTGAGCTCAATAACTTTGCTTATACTCGTTCCTTTTCCAATTAATGCGAAATCGCTTCAAGTGAATTTTGAAATGTAACCATTGGTCTTCTCTTAACATGTTGGTGTCATAAATCAAACAAAAAAATGTGGACAGAGTTATGACACAAATCTTCAGGAGAGAACCTCTCGGGAAATTGAACATTTTGGGTAAAGGGTGTGAGAGCTGTAAAACAAGAACTGTGTAAAATGGAGAAAAAAAAAAGGAAGGACAAAGGAAAAGGAGTTGCAACAGAGGGTGGCATGTGGCAGGTGCAGCAGCAGTTTGTTTGTTGTGTATAGGCAGTAGTAGTTAAATCAGTCATATAAACATACATGCCATGGGAGACGAATGGTTGTAAAATAATAGCGTGTATTTATATAATGTATGCTATCCCACAACACACACTCAAATGCCCATCTTTGCATTTCATAATGTCAACTCTTTGAAGGTAAAGAAAGAAATTAAAAAGAGTGGAGTCAAAAGAGGGTCAAATCAGCTTTATTTTATTGGACACACCACAAATGCGTCGAATCAAAGTGGAAAATAATAATGGACCAAAAACTGGGCTCATAAAACTGGGTGTTGATGGGGTTGGTAGTGCCATTCATTGGAACCAAACCAAACCAAACCAAACCCTAAGGTTGAAGAGTATGATGGGTCTGTAGATGGAAAAGACTTAAAGTGATTTGGTTGCTGCTTCCAACCCTAAATCTAAATACAATCTAGGGTTCCCTTTCTCTCTCTGACCTCCCCTTTATTCTTACTTACGCTTTGCTGACGGATTCGCGTACTATATACATACATAAAATATATGTTTTTCTTTTCTTCTTCAAACCCTAAAAAGCCCTAATTGTTTACTGTTATTTCTTTATTTATTGGTTACGTATATTATTCTCCCCACTCTCTCTCTCTCTCTCTGTCTCCCTCGTAGAAACCAATTTGATTGTTCTTCCGTTTTTCTGCACCTAATCTCATGTGTTATCTTTTACAAGCATTTATTCTAATTCAATCCCAACTTCAAATCTCACAAATACCCTACTTTCCTACCTATTCTTACAACTCAATCATTTAACTTTCTTATAACGATTTAGGTACACTGTGAGATCTCATCTTTGTTGGAGAGGGGATTGTGAGATTCCGCATTGGTTGGTTGAAGAGGGTAACTAAAGGTCTGGAAATTTCTCTCTAGCAAATGCAAATTGTGAATGAAGCAATGGATGGACTATTAGATGAACACGATTCTTCACAATGGTATGATATTGTACACTTTGAGCATAAGCTTTCGTAGCTTTGCTTTGAACGTCCCCAAAAGACTTCATACCAATAGAGATAGTATTCCTTAATTATAAACTCATGATCATTCTTTAAATTAGCTGATGTGAGACTTTTATCATCCAACGTAGACTTGTATATACAAATTAGGAAGAGCTAATCGCAAATGGAAAAAATAGTTTATACGGCGAAAACTTAGGTGGAATATTGGATCGAGTGACCTTATTTGGCAAAATGTATATAGATATGAGAGTAGGAGAAGAGAAGCACATATTTGAGTGAATTCATCATATGATGTGGTGGGAAGCCTTTAGAGCGGATTAAAGATTGGGTTTTCTTTCATTTAACCCATTTACGTGTGAGGAATGGATATGGATATGAATATGAAGGCGAAGCCATTCCCATGTAGTTGGAGTTGAAGGTAATTAAGAAACAACAATATAAACAAAGATGGGAAGGGAACAAAAGGTTGAAACATTGAATGGACAGTGTTGCACAGTGAGATTTAGGCAGGATTTGGTTTATGGTTTGAAGGGAAAAGAAAACACTTTTGTTTCCCAGGAGCTAATAAGCTAATAAGCTAGTAAGCTAATAAGCTAGTAAGCTAATAAGCTAATAAGCTAAGGTGAGTAGTAGAGTTAAAAGAGAAGAAGCGACATTCGGAGTGTCCCACTAACTTTACCAGCTTTTTCTTACTGCAAACAAAAACTCCACCTTTTTCCATGCCAAATTATTAGCAGATTAGATGGGGGCGACTCAGACCATAATTACTCTTTCTTTTCTCCACTTTTTACGTGCCCAACCTCAGTTTATTTATAACTGAAGTGATGTGCACAAACGCCTTCAAACGTGTGGGAATTGAAAAACCCTAAACTCAAAATAGGTAAAATATTAAATCACTGGACTCCTCACTCTCTTCTATAATAAATTAAATTATTATTAAATAAGTAAATCCAATCTAAGTGGGTACGCTATTATTGAAGTGAGAAGGGGTTTTCATCCATGGCCACTGGGTGAGTGTTAGCTTACTGGCTTGGTTTTCCATCTGTGTGCCGTGCGGTGCGGTGCGGTGCGGTGCCTTCTTCTCCCCTAACCCTCTCCTCGATTTGATCGTCGCCCTCTCTCTCTCAATTCTTTATGCCAGTAATGCCAGTAGTCTCTCCTCACTGCCACTGCAACAAAAGAGGAAGACGAGAGTTTTCATCGGGAAGGTAAAAAAAAAAAAAAAAAACAACAAAAAATCGAAACTTTGCCAACCCCATCTAACCATCTCCACGTTACATTTATCCAATCTCCTTCTCCTTCTCCTTCCTTCCTTCCTAACACAACCCACAAAGCAATAACATATACATCACAAACAATTAGCATGCCTGACCGCCTGCCTTTTCCTCTTTCGTAAAAGCCTGATCTTTCCGAAGCTAAAATCCCGGGAGTGCCCTCCAAAAAAAAAAAAAAATAATAATAATAAAATCAACACTTGTTGTTGTTGTTGTTATTGTTGTATTCTATGGATGGTCCTGGCGGAAGTTCTTCAGGTATGATGAATTTTGGAGATCAAAATAATAGTAATAATGGGTTATGTTCTTCCATGATGATGATGATGCCTTTAATGTCTTCTCACCACCACCACCACCACCATCAAGGAGATGCATGTAATCCATTTCCTCCTCTTCCTTCTCCTAATTACACTACCAACAACATCAACAACACCAACACTTCTTCTTCTTCTAACCCTATTTGTTACTTCATGGATGAACACACCACCACCACCACCACCAACAACAACAATGATAATGGGTGTTGTAATGCAAATTCGTCTTCTTGTGAATTGAAGGCCAAAATTATGGGTCATCCTCACTACCACCGCCTCCTTGCTGCCTATGTCAATTGTCGAAAGGTAACCAACCAACCAACCAACCAACTAACCAACTAACCACCATAAATAATAATAGACTTGTTTTTAGGACTCTCTCTATAGCTTTAGATCTGAAGAAGCTTTATTGTTTTGGACTCGTTTTCTCCCTTTTCTCAGGTGGGGGCGCCGCCGGATGTGGTGGCGAGGCTTGAAGGAGCGTGTGCATCTGCACTCACAATCAGTGGTACGTCTTGTACGGGGTGTATTGGTGAAGATCCGGCTCTTGACCAGTTCATGGAAGCTTATTGCGAGATGCTCACTAAATATGAACAAGAACTTTCCAAACCCTTTAGGGATGCCATGCTTTTTCTTCACCGAATTGAGTGCCAATTCAAAGCCCTCTCCATTTCCTCCTCCGACGCTGGTGAATTTTTCCACCAATTACTTCTATTTTTAAATCAATTCATCTTCCTCTAATACTTTTTCATGCATGTTTATAATGCTTGTATAATTACATACCCCGTAGCTTCATTTATTATTCTTAGTGTATTAATTAGCTGATTTTTTTTTTTTTTTTTTTTTTAATAATCCTAAACTGTTTGTGAAAAATTCTAAACCCTTTGATTTGTTTAATCTCTTTGTTTAAACTGTTTGGGGTTTGATTTTTCAATGCAATTAGTTCAGTGAAAAACTGTATTATTATTTTTGTTTCCATAACTGGAAATTAGGTTATCATCTAGATGTTTGTGTCAACTGTGATGTAGAACTGCAGGAATCCATCTGCGTATGGTTGATTGAGATCTAACAAGTCATTGAGTCATGTCCACTGGAGTGTTTATTTTCACTCTTTTTGAGTTCTAATTATCAATTCATTGTTTGTAATGCATTGATGAAGAGATTAAATGACATTATGTCCATGTTTTTTAGTCATTGGCTTGTGTTTTTGTTCTCTCATTCCTTGCCATTGCCTATACATTGTCTATATGATTCTATGTCTTCTATATTTTTCGCTCAAGCGATATAGGCTTCTTAAACCCTGGCCTTTTGCATTTTATCCTTTTGTTTAATGCTATTAAAATTGTAACGGCCCAGACTGACCGCTAGCAGATATTTTCCTCTTTTGGCTTCCTCTCAAAGCCTTAAAATGCGTTTGCTAGGATAAGGTATCTACAAGGGTATTTCGTCCTCCTCCCCAACCAATGTAGGATATCACATAAATTCATCGTTATGTTTGTTAAAATATCATTACTAGCCCAATAGGGTTAAGGCCAACCACTGAGTGACTATATCTATGTTAAGAAAATGATTATGAATTTTAGGAATAAATCTAGTAAAATGATTTAGTTATTTTTAAAAAAAATATTGAGAAATTTTAGGAATATATATAAATACCCCTCCACCCTACTTAGTTCATCCCAAGAAATCCCAATACAGAGTATACATAGTATTCTTCAAAGTGTCTCCCAAGAAATCCCAAGCAATACAAAGTAGTAGTATTCTTCAAAATGTCTTGTATTCTCTTCTCGATTGGTCGAGTGCTAGTGTTTCCCACGTAAAGTTAGTGTGTTCAACAATGTTGCTTTGGAAATATAGAACCCTCTTTGTTTTTGCTTTTCAACATCTCACCTGAATTTTCTGGTGTTTTGATTTGGAATTCAGTATGAAAGTACACAGTTTCTTTTTGTATTTTCTGCCTATCACCTTTACATGTTCGTATCTGTTCAAAAATCTTAGAAAATAGTGTCTGCTGTCATCTTCTTCCGAATAAAGAGTCATGTCCAAGAATACTTGATCATAATTAGCTCAACTGCAACCGAACCGATCAATGGGTTAATAACCATGGGGTGCTGATTTACGATAAAATGTATGTTCGAGTTCATTTGATGGCTGATATATTGTATGCATACCACCCAGTTTGTGGTGAGGCATTTGAAAGGAATGGTTCATCTGAAGAGGAAGTTGATATCAATGGCCACTCTATCGACCCTCAAGCCGAAGACCGTGAACTGAAAGGTCAGCTCCTCCGCAAGTACAGTGGATGCTTGGGCAGTCTGAAGCAAGAATTCATGAAGAAAAGGAAGAAAGGGAAGCTGCCTAAGGAGGCCAGACAACAGCTCCTTGACTGGTGGAGTAGACATTACAAGTGGCCTTATCCATCTGTATGTGTAATCTCACCATTTCCTATGTTGTTCTTGTAAGGGTTAGTTTAGATTGTAACTGTAATGTTGTGTTTTTGAACAGGAATCACAGAAGCTAGCATTGGCTCAATCCACTGGGTTGGATCAAAAGCAAATCAACAACTGGTTCATCAACCAAAGGAAAAGGCACTGGAAACCCTCTGAAGATATGCAGTTCGTGGTGATGGATGGTGGGCATCCGCAGTATTACATGGACACCGTGTTGGGCAATCCTTTTCCCTTGGATATCTCTCCCACTCTACTCTAATAAATTAATTTCCAGATTGTTGTGATTTTAATATACCATGCCTTTTCTTTTTCTTTTCTTTTGTGTATCAATGTTTGAGGAATCATCCAACTTGTTTGGGCACCAACATATATGCTTTTCTTACTTGATATTATATTTGCCAACGCAGGAGTTGGAAAGTTGAACATCAATTTACCTATCTTATGTACTTAGAATGTTCGTGTAATTCAAGTTTGGATGTTTGGTTTTTATTTTTATTTTTTATGGTTATGATGATTCGAGGGAGCATTGGATTTGGACTTTTCTGCCATTTTATGAGGTGCAATGTACTTGGAGTTTGCATGATCTGGCTGAAAATTATTTACATGAAAATTGTTAGTATGAGAATAGATTCATTCATACATGTGATTCTTAATGTTCAAATCTTTTGATCACAAGATTAAATGTTGTGTTGGTCTTGATTCACACTTGGAGAGAGGTAGTTTAGGTTAGATGTTAAGAGTATAACAAGTGATCATAACAAGTGATCATTCTTACCGGACAAATGGTCACGTAAGTTTATTTCTTGTGAGATTCCATGTCAGTTAGAGAGGGGAGTGATTTCCATGTCAGTTAGAGAGGGAAATGAAGCATCCTTTTCCATGTCAGTTAGAGAGGGAAATGAAGCATTCTTTACAAAGGAGGTGTCCAAACTTCTTATTAATAGACACATTTTAAAACTTTGAAGGAAAGCTTGGAACGAAAAGTAATAGTGGTTGGCTTTGATAGTTATAAATTCTATCAGAATTAGACATTAGGAGGTGTGCTAGCAAGGATATTGAGCCTTTTGAAGGAAGATAGACACCGGACGATGTGCTAGTGAGGACGTTGATCTCGTAGAGGGGTGGATTCAGTTGGAAAGAGGAACGAATCAACCTGTCTCTACCAAACGCATTTTTAGGTGAAAGGAAAAATCGAGTTAATGTGTTTTCTAATGCTCATAATTGACAAAGCACACTTGTTCATCCGAGTCTTTGTTTAATAGCTGGGAGTTTTCAACCTCTACGTTTAATTCAGATTTCTAAAGTCTTCGAACGCTCTCAAGTCATGATTTGTTAGCGATGGAATTGTTTTTGTTAGTCACTATTGGAGCTTACTTCAGAACATCAAAGTGATGCTTATTATAGTTAGCTACGATGTAGGTCTGTTGTGAGCTTAGAGATTGAGGCTTAGTGCTAAGATTTCAGAGAACTATTGTCTGTTCTATTTCATTATGACATTTTGTAACTCACAAGAACAATTCAATCTGTATATATTTCCATGATTGAGTTTACCAATTTTTGTTTGGAACAAAGCCCCAACAAGTGGAGTGGCATGATCATATTATAAATACACTGAATTCATGTATAATAATAGCAAAAACAGAAGGTGCAGAATTTCCTCACTTTTCGGCATCTGGACTCGTCTCTGTCACATATTCCCTCATCAGTCTCGTGTTAGATTCACCAACCATCTGAAAATAATGAATCGCAGCTACTTACCAAACAACTTCACATAATGCTATTAAGAAAATGGTAGAGAAACAGACCAATTTCCTTACTTTGGATGCTAATCGCTTGAGGTTGTCCCATTCGAAATCGTTTTTGCAGTATGCAGATCGAACCTGGAATCAAATAACTTGCCAGCTTATGAGCGTTTCCACGGTGGGGGAAGCATTAATCAAGTCTCAAGTGAACAGACTCACCTCTAGTATGCGCAATGCTGTCCCCCCAGCCATGAATTTAACCATCAGTTTAAGGCTCATTGTTAGAAACAGTCAAACACAAACAATAAACTTCAATTTTCTTCATTCTTGACTAAATTATCTATCAAGTGTAGAATTGGGTTTTACCGAGACTCTTATGCCTTGAGGATTCCCGCATCAAATTGCTCAGGAACTTGTCCCCATCGTTCAGTGAATGCCTATCAAGAAACTCCATTAATTCTGCGTGCGCCTCTGGATTGTAGCTCTGTTCTACCAGAACAAGAATCAATACCAACAACATCGCAGAGCAATTAAAACAGAGTAATAATTGAAGAGCAACCTCAAGCTGCGCAGTCACGATCCTAACAGCAACATACGTGAAGAAATTGTGCAGATTCTTGGCTGCCTTCGCTTCGGGCGACGCTTCTCCAAACCCTGATTATGAATTTATAGATAAGCAAAGGAACGAACAAAATCTGTGTATATGAAATGGAAAGACAGAAAGAAATAGAAAGAGAGAACCCACCGGGGACATACATCTTATGGCAATGCAAGCGCAAAGACTTGGAAGCTTCTGCCTTTTTTGGCCAAACTGGATTGAAATTGCTTCTGTTTAAATTGGGCCGTGGGAAAAGAGAAGGGAAGTGAGTAGGGGAGAGAATCCTTGCACATGATTCCATAGATGGCCTCGAGCTTTATCGAACTGCTTCACAAGAAAACTGGAACCAGAGAGCGAGAGAGAGATATTTTGCCTCGAGCTTTCTTGAAAATACAAAAAGGAGGTTCATTCAAACCACATAAATAACCACTCAAAATAGCACACCATTACTGAAATTAGCCCATTTAGAACAAATTAAGCCCACTTGATTCGGCCCAAGATACAAATTCAGGGTTACATGTTGGTCATCCTCTAGGTTTTACTGCTACGGACATTCTTGCTAGATTGAAACGTATGCAAGATTACTCTGTTTCGCACCCAATCGGCTGGAATGCATTTGGATTGCCTGCGGAACAATAGGCTATTGAGGTTTGCTCTTCCAGCTTCCAGTTAGCTTACAATGCCTGAATTTGATGATTTTACACCCACGGGAACAGGGGAAGCTCCACTTGCAAAAGCAGATTCTTGGGTATTTCTCTATTTTGTTTGTTGACTTCGTCATTAGTTCATTCCCAAAGGAGATCTCTTAAGATTTATCCGGAAATGTTGCTAATTTTACCTGTGAATGCATCTGAATATTGGAAAGAGATATCAACCAAACTATAATTTAACATTAAAGTTCACCTTCCAAGTGCTGCATAAATAGGTTCAGGTTTCACATAAATAACCCATTTGATGGGTTATATTAACCACTACAATTGGCATATTGAATTTGTGTTTTATGAATGCAGTTGCTCCCTTGACTAAATGATGATTCAAATTCCAGGTAACCGAAGAAGTTGAAGGGACACGGTTCAACACAGGAATCTCAGCTACTATGGAGTTCGTTAACATGGCATATAGGGTTATTGGACTACATTAAAAGGTGAGGGGATTCGAACCTATAACCTCTTGGTCAATGGCATATACGTTAACGATATGAACTATGGTTGGCATATATCAAGAGATTAAAAAACTTGATATCTAGATCCAATTTTGACAGAAATGTTATATTTGGATATTAATGTTTAAGATTACATTATTTCTTTGCCATTTCACTTCTCTTCCTATCAGACTGATGCCATTTTTTAGCTAGGGACAGATATCCGAGGTCTATTGTTGAAGCATTCACTTTGTTGCTTTCACTGTACGCACCTCGCTTGGCTGAGGAACTTTGTTCTTGGTTAGGACACACAGAATTGTTGGCATACGAGTCCTTCCCCGAGGTGTGACTTCTTATCCCCCTTGCCTCCCTTGAGTACTTGAATATTTAAAGGCTTTATGGTTGTGTTTGAGCCTTCTTGCATCTACAAGGGGTATGCATCAGGTGTGTTAGCCACTTGAGTCCTTGTGAAGAATCATATTGGCATCAAATTTTGAAAGCAAATTAAGATTTTGGGATTTGATAGGTTCATCTCGCTTTTACTTAAAACATAAAGAAAATTTAAAATAGAAATATAATTCACCTTCAAGCAGGAGAAATAGTGTTCTACCTGAAGAACTCCACAATTGTCCTACCTGTTCAGATCAATGGTTGAGGAAACATGTACAGAAGAGGAAGCTTTCCAGCTAGCAGAACAGGATGAAAAAGTCTCCATGTGGCCTGCTGGCAAGATCTTGAATGTTATAATGAATCGTCAAGGCTCCAATGTGGCCTGCTCAAACTGTACAATTTGCTGCAACCACCGAAATCTCTCGCAGATGGTATAATAAGCCGATGGACGCATGCAACAGATTATCAATGAAGTCTTGTGCTTTAATCGGAATGATTGAGCTTACTGGGTGGGAATAGAAAAGTTCCTGCTATTACAACTCGATCATCAATAAGACGACGTTGTGGCTCGATTCTTACATTGGTATCTTGGTTGTCGTTGAGAATTGTTGAGAGGAGTCTCACATCGGCTAATCATGAGTTTACAAGTAAAGAATACATTTCCACTGACATAAGGTCGGTAAAGGAGACCAAAAGCAAAGCTGGGTGAGTTTGAGCTCTTTTCATCCCGGTTGAGACATTTTGTTTGGTTCGTTGAATGATATGTCATGCTCTATCTTCTAAGAAAAAAAAAATCATAGTTTATAGTTGTGATGTATATCTCTTAATTATTGCAATAAGTTCAGTATAAATGTTGTATTAAATATGTTTGTCAACGGGTGTGGAGCTGGCCAACGCGTACATATATTTGTTAAATTTTCTCTTACATCTCAAAATTCAGAAAATTATACATTAAAGTTTGCATAATTTATCATATTATTCTTAATTTTGTAATCAAATTTCTCAAATATTTAAAAGTGGTCCCACACGTTCACGTTCAATCAGAACATCTACACGTTACTAACAAAAAAAAAAAATCGTTTCACATAGAAGAAAAATATAATATATGCTTATAATTCTAATTTTTAATTCATACTTTGAATTTTATAATTTTTATGTAAAAATAAGAAATTCTTTTAATAATTTTTTCGGGAGCCCACAAGGCCCAGTAGCTACTCAAATCGCAGCCCAGATAGCCCATTCGATAAAAAATCAACCGTACGACGACGTATTACTTTTCTTGTTGTTCATGGAATTTCAGAGACTACTCCAAATTCCGGTAACATTTCGCTGCCGTCATCCCTTCCCTGATGCGTTTTTCTTTCTTTATTAATTTGCTCTCCGGCGAAACCGCCATGTCTTCCATGTATTCTCTTCTCTCCCGGCGCTTTCTTTTGCTCTTGTTTCTCTCCGATTCGTTGCATGAAAGTTATTTTTTTTCTCATTTCCAGGAAGAACAATGAAGAAGAAAGCTCCTGTAACACTAGGCCGCAGCCTTATCTGGTTCAGCTGGAAGCTCGTCATCACCTTCTCTGTTGCACTTTGCATTCTCACTCTTATCAAGTTTCATTCGTCTTCCCGGAGCGACCTCGCATCTGCCTCTTTATCACGTCGTTTGCGACCTTCTCCTGACACGTTTTCTGCCCGCCCTAAGATTGCTTTCTTGTTTCTCACTCGTCGAAATCTCCCGCTTGATTTTCTTTGGGGAAGCTTCTTTGAGGTGTTTTAAAGTTTCTACTTTAACAAAAGTATCTACGATTAAGCATTGACTGCGAGTTGAACAAATAATTTGCAATTTTCTATTCCAGAATGGCGACGTTGCGAACTTCTCGATTTACATTCACTCGGCACCTGGATTTGTGTTCGATGAATCGACGACTAGGTCGCATTTCTTTTTTGGACGGCAATTGACGAATAGCATACAGGTAACGTGATGTGTGTTGTGATGAAACGAAGTTTGTGTGTTTTTCCATAGCTTCCGTGTATACTTACCATCAAAGTGGAGATTAATGGAAAATGGATGCTTGTTCACTGGAAATTACTCTTCAACTTGTATGATCTTTTGTACAAATTTTGCTTAGCTGGTTCTTACCATCAAATTTTGTACAAATTTTTTAATAATGGAGGTGAATTCATGTTGGGGCTTGCAATATTTTCCTTTTATTCAGTTCACCACACTGATGCTCAGTTTTTCCCCTATGCATGTATTCTTTAGCCTTTATTATCTTTCCTTCGAAGTTTCTATTCTGCTTGGGTGGCTTTCCGACTAAAATTTAGCAACAGTATAAAAAAAATCTGTCCCATGTTTTGATTTTTTGAAATTGATTGCAATAAAGTGATTCATGTTGCAGGTGGCCTGGGGAAAATCAAGTATGATTGCTGCAGAGAGGTTGTTACTTGAAGAAGCGCTTGAGGATCCTGCAAACCAGAGATTTGTTCTTCTATCAGACAGGTTTTTTATGATCACCACTGCCACTTTCCATTGCTCTCTGAACATTTTAATCTATGAAGTTGAGGTGTTTCACAACTTCCCTTAAGATTTCTCTTCTGATGCTGCAGTTGCGTTCCACTGTACAATTTTGGATATATATACAGCTATCTCATGGCTTCCCCAAGGAGTTTCGTGGACAGGTAGATGGAGGGCTTTGTTTCTGAGGTGCTAAGCACTAATTCCTTGCTGAACATTTGGTGCCAAAATTTAGATACTTTCCAAATTTCCTAGTTTTCAGAGTGAAATTTTTATGTATGCCAACCTAAACCGTGTAATATTTACTCTCATTCTTTATTGTAGTTTTCTTGATGGAAAGGAGGGTCGCTATAACCCAAAAATGTCACCTACTATACCCAAGGGCAAATGGAGAAAAGGGTCGCAGGTCATCCATCTTAATTCTCAATAATTTTTCGTGGATCTTTTTGTTTTTTTGTTTTTTTTTTTAAGTATATTTTTGGTCATTTTTCTTGGCTATCCAGATTCAACTACGAGACTTGGGTTTTGAATCCATGTTTTGTGTGTCAGTAGTTATTATTTTCATTTTTAGTTGTAATGTCCTTCCAAGTACCCAAAGGACATAAATATGTTCTATTTATTGCTTGATATTTAAGATCTGCTAAACAATAAGTTTCCATCTTGTTGGTGTAGATGCCTTTTAGTAAATTCTAAACAATTATGATGAGTGCATTTATCTTGCTGTGGTTAAATTGCAGTGGATCAGTTTAATTCGTAGTCATGCAGAAGTAATTGTGGATGATGATATTATATTCCCAATTTTTGGCTTATTCTGCAAGGTATGTGTTACGCAGAAAATTCTTTCATTTGTCAACCACGATTCAAGTGGAGTAATTTATTTCTGCCGTCTGAAGATACTATCCTTCATGCACAAATGCCACAGATGATCACAATATGTTGATCATGTTTCCCCAAATATATCATCTTTAAATTCAACGGCATATAGCTGGAATCTCCTTCCCCTAGACACATTCTCAAGATTTTTATGAAGCAAAATTTTCACTCTTTTTGGTATTACATTATAAAGTTTACTCCTTTTCTTAACTACAGCGAAGGCCACCTGTGGATGGCAGCAAAGGAAATATGAATATTGTAAGTGAATTCAATTTCGTGGGCAACAAATATGCATGTTATCAAGAAATAGTTTATTCATTATTCTGGATACTATCTCTTAAGAATGTCCTGTGTAATATTGCTATGGATATCGCTTCTTTCATACTAGAAATCAGTCTTCCGAAGTATAATAATAATAAAAAAGCTCCAATAACCTGTCTAAATTCTGATTGTAGAAACTTCAAAAGCAGCACAACTGTATTCCAGATGAACACTATGTCCAGACATTGCTCGCTGTGAGTACAGATTTGTCTTTGGAGGCTTGATCAATCTTTTCCTTCTCCATTGATTTCTCTCTCTTTGTTTTTTTTTTCCTTCAGTCTTTGGGGATGATTAGTTTGTAATCCTTTCCAGTGGCTATAAACTTGTTGTCTGGAATAGTTTGAGTTTAACAGATAATTTACATTGTAACATTCTTTCTTGTGTTCACGCTGTAGTTAAATGATCTTGAAGATGAACTTGAACCAAGAACATTAACTTACACGCTATGGAATGAGTCAAACACTAAAATGGAGAACAAGGGCTGGCATCCTATTACGTTTAACTATGCTAATGCTGGACCTCGGCAGATCAAGGAAATAAAGGTTAACATTGCGTTATTTCTCTCTTTCATGTTTTTGTGTTTGTTTTTATGTTTGCTCCTTTTAAGAGTTTCTATCTTTTCAGTATGTTAATACCAACCATGTTTTGAATAACTCTATTGATAAATCTATGGATAAATTGGTCGATCTGGTTTCCTTTTAGAATTGATCCCTTGTCTGTATCTGCTATGTTGTTTGACATATATTGTTTTGACAGGGAATCGACCATGTCTACTATGCGTCTGAATCGAGGACGGAATGGTGTCGAAATAATTCGACTTTTGTTCCTTGTTTTCTATTTGCCAGAAAATTTTCCCAGGGAGCTGCCATGCGGTTATTAAGCTTGGGAATTGTGAGTCACTTTGATGCCTCAGCATTACTAGATAAAAAGACCAACTAACTTAGAACTACCATTCATCATGATCATCACCTAGTTAAAGCATTAAATATTATATACTTTGTTTCTTTTACTATAAATGTTGTAAGATGAGTCTATCTTGAAATTAAGTTAAAATTGTATTCTTGGTGTTCAAAAGAAAACTAGGTTTGATAGTTAGATCAAAATGGATCGTAAAAGAAAGAGCTTCCTCTGCTCATGGTGTGTGCCTGCATTGTCAGCCAATTTAGAAGAGGCTTCCAAAGACTGGCCGGTACGTGTGAAAAGATGGTTACCATACTGATACTTGTGAATTTAACACTGATGTAATATAGTGACTTTGTTGAGAATATTATTTGGATATCTTTTAAATTGATATGATATGATAGCAATGGTTTGAGGAATAAAAACTCTTCAATAACTTTTTCTTGTTTTGAAACAATGTCAAAGTTAAGAGTTTGAATTAATTTTTATAAAGCATTTGTATAATTCTATGCGTCTTTTTTCAACTATGATGGTTTGAATTTGTTGGATTCCTGCTACAACATGATAGGGATGATTTTATTTTTATTATTATTTTCAGTAAAACAGATAGGTTAGGATGAGCTCACTTTGGTCCATCAATTATTTTATTAAAAACGTATTTAAAAAAGATATCCTCTTTATAAAACATTTATAATTAAATACATGGTCAAATGCAAAATATTATAACATTTATGAAGCTTATCTTAATTTAAATCATTAAACAAAACATTGTTAGGTATGGTTTGAGAAATGGTGGAAATGTCAGTAGGAAGCTTAAAATTAGCAGCAAAAATTAGCAGAAAAAGAAGAACACATTGAATAGGAGAGGAAGAAAAGGCAAAGACAAAAGAGAAAGTGAAAGGGAATATATGGGTGTGTTTTCTGTCATCAAAAAAGCCTATTCTCATTGGTTTGAACACCGCAGGTGACGGGTGCTTTGGCCTTCAGTTTCTTCAACAACAAGATAGCTGCTGCCACTCCCAGCGCCCCTGCTGCTGATACTGCACTCACTGCCCCTGCAATCACCCGGTGCCTATGGCTACCACTTGCCATGCTTGGATCTGCACACACAATCCAATATTTTCACTAGATCCTTAAGAATGGAAGAAATCAATCATTACAGATATGATTTGGGATACCTTCACAGTAAGTAGTGACATTCTTGTCATTACAAATGCACAAGAAGCCAAGAGATTGAACGTCAAATCCACAGGACCCGCCGCCCTTCAAAACATCCTGGCAACGGAGACAAGAAGTAGTGACAACAATATCAAAATCAATTCGAATCCCATATTCAGCCACTTGATCATAAGCCTCATTCACTCCTCCAATGCTCCTCCAATACACACTCGTGTAGGTAGCGCAGTACTTGAGCATCAGCTTCAAAGAATCCATGGCCTTGGGATGATAAGAGCAGCAGGAACTTCCTTCCAGCGCTGTCGCACACTGTGGCACGTGCGTGCATAAATAACTCGCACTGTCACACGACGCATCGCACCGGTCCGGAAACCGGCCGCAAAAAACCGGCTTTGGCGCAATCATTACCTCCTCCTCGCTGCAGTTGAAGAAGAGGTAGTCGTTTAAAGGGGAAACCGTGAGGTGGGTTTCCGGGTCGAGGGTGAAGGGTCGGGTGGGGCGAAAGTTTGGACCGTCTTGGCAGTTCCACATGTCGGGGTTGGAAATGAGGATATAAGGATCGGAGTAGCTTATGGCGGAAACAGGGAATGTTCCGGAGGGTGTTCGGAGGTGGAGTTGGTCGGAGGCTGTGCAGAAAAGAAGGTTGCGGTAGTAGAGGCTGCCGCAGCCGTCGTCTATGCCGAAGGGGTAATGGATTGAGATGTTGCCGCAGGAGGTCCGGCAGAATTGGGCGGCTTTGAGAGAGAGGAATGATGTGAGGATCTGTGCGATTAGAAGAAGAAGACGAGGAGAGGAGAAAAATGTCATTTTTGTTTTAGAGGAGAGGGCAGGAAGTGAGAGTGAAGATCTGTGATGGGTTATTGACATATTGTTTGAGATTGTTTGTAGGAAGTTTGAAGATGAAGATGGAGATGAGTAAACTTCAAGTTTTTTGTTCTTTTGGGACGGATCTCCAATCTTTGAATTTCTTTCTTGCTTTCATGTTCCTTTTCTTTCTTTCATTGTTTTTGAGAATTCATCTTTCCCATGATTTATTATCGATTTTGTGTATCATTTCATTGTTGCAATTAAATTCTTAATTTATGGATAGAGTGAGCATAATTTAATAATTTAATGATAATTGACATATAATTCTTCTTCTCAAGTTAGAGGTCCAAATCTTCATATCCCATTTCTATAAAATTTAAGTTTGATTAGTACACTATTTTAAGTTTATAGTTAAAGATTTAAATATGTAGCCAAGTTTGTTTTGTTTTGTTTTTATTTATAATTAAGTAGAGATATTTGGTTGATGGTGGCCCACGAAAGCCCAAAAGCTTACTCCAATGGATCCATTATTAGTGCAAGCGATGGAGCCCATTTTCGTCTAGAGACACGGCACCCTTTTATGGGCTCAAGAACCAAGGCCCGCATAAACAACACGCATCCAGAAAACGACGACGTTTTCTCCCGACAAACCCAGAAATCCTGGAAGACGGAATTTAACAATGAAATGAAACTCGTCCCTTTCTGTTTACTGGCTTCCGATCACCTTCTCAACAAAAAAAAAAAAAAACAAAAAAACAAAAAAACCGAGCCCCAAGAGATAAGACTGTTGTCATGAAGAGCAGGTTCATGAATCTCTTCGGCATGTATTGATATTTATTTGATTCATAATTCATCTATTTGGTTTATAATCATTTTGGTTCATCTTTCACCTGAATCATCTTAATTCATGCATGATATTAATGATGCGTCCATGCTTTATAAATAGTTGTCTAGAATGGTTGAAATGCATAGAGTTTGAGTATCATTTTGTATTTGTTGAGTGATATTTGAGAGGAACTTATTGAGAGACTGTGTAGCATGAGAGTGCACCATCTTTATAAACAATTTGATTACTAAACAATTTGATTACTGAGATGGATTGCTACACGTGGATGTAGGAGAATTTCTTATCTTCAAACCACACAAATCTTTGCGTCTCTTTATCTAACTTTTTTATGGATGTGCGATTGCGATTTTGCTTCCACTTGTGTTACAACAAAGACTACATGTTGCACAGAGAAGAGAAGCCGAGAGAGAGAGAGAGAGAGAGAGAGGCGTAGACCAGAAACTAGAAAAAGTGTGAAAACCAATTGAATGCACAAGTAGCCACATTCACGCGAAAAAGTGCAAAATTTTCAAAGGCGGTGGTGAAGGCGCATACGTAAATGTTCAAAGCTAACCCTGATAATAAGGGCAAAGAAGATTGTTGATGTTGTGGTGGCGTGGGTAGAGATAGATATGTGCTGAAATCTTGGAAGAAACCTTGTTGATTTTTATTAAAAATGAAACAGTAATGTCAAATGTTACGAAATTCAAAGCAACCCCCACATGTTTGTTATTACGTTGGAGTATTGTAATATTATATATCACAAGTTGATGCCCATTATTCACCTAACCCTCTGAAATATTGTGCTCTCTATTTAATCCCATTCTTTTACAACTTATATTAAAATTTTGAATTTTGGTCACTACTGGTTGAGGCATGTGACGTGCTTATTTGACTAATTTCGATGGCCCTCATAATTGTTATATAATTTTAAATTTTTGTAAAACAATTAATGGGTATTGTAATATGTGAATAAAAGGGTGTAGATATGCAATAAGTTGGAAAGAAAGGTCCAAAAACGATGAGCTACAATGCTTGACTTGAGAGGATAGTAGGAGACAAATCCAAGTTGTTGTTATTATCTCATGCACCAAGAAATTTCTCCCTTTCTTTGTTTATTTATTTATTTCATCCCTACCCGAAAAATAAATTAATGCGTTGGTGGAGCAACAAATTTGCATGGAGATGAAAAGAAAAGGAAAACAAAGTGTCTGAAAACCTCTCGACTTGAGTACGAGTGAGTAGAAGGAATGAAATCCGTAGGTAAAGTTAAAAGCAAGTTTACAATTTTGTTGACAAAATAAACAAATGGGGTTCCTACCATTTCACAATCATTGCTTTCCCTTTTCTTCAATTATATTTTAAAGCAAACCCACACGAAAGAGAAACTTGTTTTATTTTTGTAATTCATTTATTTTTATCACTGTTCTTGTCGGCTTTGAAATTTCAGACAAACTTGTTTGAACCCTCTCCTTATTTAGCATCTTAACCAATCTTCTCTTGCCCCTAAAGATACGTTCAATATTTTTTTTCTTTTTCATAATAATAAATAATATAATTGACTTTTTTTTTTTTTTTTTTTAATTTAATACAATTTTTAAAACCCAAATGAAAAACCAAAAGTATAATTGAAGCATGAAAGTAAAATCTTAAATATAAATGTGAAGCTCTTTCTTTCTTGCTTCCTTCCAAACATGTCATGCGAACACATTTTCATTATTTTTATTATTTTTATACGTTTTAATTTGACTAAATATAGATATAAAAATATAAATTATGCAAAAATGTTTTAGAGTATGCGTATAATTCTTAGTTGTTATTTAGGGGTTAAAATAAAAATAATAATAATATTCAAAGTCTAGGAGTGGATACAAGTAATTGAAATTTTGAATGGGATGGGAGACAAGTTTGGTCCAAATAAATAAATAAATTAATTAATTAATTAGATGGGGGAGGGTTTTTAGCGTGTGAAAAGCATCACCGTCAATGCATTTAGTTTAAATCCTGGCTGTCCAAATTTTGTACGTCATTTAAGTGAGCCACGTGGGAAGTATCCAATGGTCAACGTAAATCCCAGTCAACTTCTGTCCTCGTCTCTCATTTCTCTTTGCTTGGAAATTTTATTACTTCTTTATTGTCTACGCTTACGCCCTACACATCCTTTATTTAATATTTTCTCCCTTCTCTTCTTCTCTTATTATTTTTCTGCATTTTTTTTTAAATTCACATATTTAATCCTATTTTTTTCTTTAATGCCCTCATTTTTTAATTACAAACCCTCCCATCAATTATTATTATTATTTTTTCTTTTAATTTGAAAGTTTCAAATATGGTCCAACTATTATTTTAGTAATCAAACCAACAATTAATTGTACAAGTTTTCCCTCCAAAAATGTGGTCTCAATTTTACACAATAAAAAAAAAAAAAATCAGTATTGGATGCATAAACTTAATAATTTAATGTATAAATCTCTCAAAAATCTCAAATCTTAATAATTAATAATATATTTTATAATTAATTAAGCACATGTATTAACTTTGGGTAAAATTTGCAACACTTATTCAAATTTAATGCATTAATTCAAAATTTAATAATTTATTTGAAAAGAGAAATATGTGAAGAATGGCTACAAATTGGGACCGAGAAGAGAGTAAGCTGAAAATATAAAGTTTTTTTCTTTTTTCTTTTTTCTTTTTTTTAATAAAAAAGTTTTATTTACATTTTCCCTCTTCTTTTGGTTTGAATTAAATGCGTATTTGTTTGCATTTAAAATAATAATAATAACTTAATTTGAGCTACATAGTTTGGCTTTGCGTGCCTCAAACCTAATCTAATTGTATTAATATCCATAACCCTAATTTTCAACTGTGTGATTAAACTATAATTAATGCTACATCAGCTATTTCCTTTCTTTTCTTCTTATTTTTTATTCTCCTTTGCCTCTTTCTTGTTGTCACAATAAATGAATTTGGATACCAATTATGAAGGTTAGGTCTTAATTTTTATTTAAATCTCGATTCATTTATTTATTAAATATTATTATTATAGAGAGATCGTATTTTTTTTGGTTGTTCTATTCTTAAACATTATTCCCTCCGGTCTCCTTTCCATACAAAAACCACTTATTTGGTTACTAATGTGACACATATTTAGTTATTGTGAGCATATTATAAAATTTTGGTATTGTATCATGAAAGGAATCTGATGCGCAGTGGGGCCTGATACTCATTTTCTTCTTTCTTTTCCTTTTACTTAGCCGAAGTTGAGGACTAACCAACGCTGCATGCATGGGAAAGAAGAGGGTTTCCAGGATTTTCATCATGGATTCCAAGAATAGCCCCATGAGTTTGACTCGTGTTTGAGTACAGCCAATCAAATCTCATTGTTCTGAGTTCAATGCCCAGAAATTGTAAATGGGCACATATATGGTCAAATTTGGGTGATTCTTTTTCTTCTATCCTTGTTTGAATATTGTTCAAAAGTATGAAGTTCTTCAAGTTCTGGCAATATGGTCAAATGTAGAAAGAAACAAAGAATAGTCGGCAAATTTAATGCAGTTTCAAGTGGGTGGGTGACGCAGAAAGATTAGATTCATTTTTCTAAAGGAAGAAAATTAAAATAGGGTCGGAAATAAAGTTCGTAAATAAAATAAATAAAAATAATAATTATACCACAAATACCACATTCATTAAATTTCTTGAAATATATAGTCATAATTTTATACAAAAGAGTTTAACCTAGGTTTGAAAATACATCACTACTTTTATTTCTTTTGAAAAATAAACCGTCTTTTTTTTTTTTTTTTAATTATTGATATAGCATTGATTAATGTGACCAAAAAGATTATCCTCATATAATGCATTTTGAAATAAAATAGGAGACTTATTGTTAGATGCTTTAATTATTTCTCCACTATTGAGTGCATCTAGAACAAGCCCCCCCCCCACTATATATATTGATTGAGGCTAGGACAATTTGGGTATTATGGTAGCTACCTCCCATGTAGAACTCCATTTTATTTTCCTCCTAATTACTTGAAAGTGATTTATAAACCAAAATATATATTAAATTAATTAATTAATTAATTAAACAAAGACCTATGAATCACCATTTCGATAATTGAAGAAAATGATTGGTGTGTCAAAATAAAAATGTACCTTTTAAAAAAACATTACTGTTGACTGATTATCGTGTCTTTCTTCCCTCGAATTCATGGCCCCAATTTTTTGTTCTGTCCTAAAAATGATTTTTTTAAAAAAATTCTTATGTTTAAAATAGTTAGAAATTTGTTATAGGAAATTGAAAAGGAGTTAAAAATATAACAATTTTGGGTGATGGTTGATGTTTAATGCAAGTTGGGAAATAAATATATTAAGAAAAAGTAAGCGAAATGGATTATGGTGAAAAAGATTGGTTAGCAAGAGGATTAGATTAGATGGGTAGGTGATTAGGTCTAATACCAAAAGAAAATGGAAGAGTCGTGCATGAGTAAACAAAATGACGACATTTTTAATCTGTAAAGAAAATAATTATTAAAATTAGGCAACTAATTATTCGGGGGTGTAATATTGAAATATTAAAATCCCAATCAAATATAGGTAAAAGAGGAAAAAAAAAGTCAAACCAAATGACTCGGTCCCACGGTTGGACAGTCAACACAGATCCCACCGGTACAGATCTGAAACGTGGTGTGTTGTAAAGTGAAAAGGTGGGCCCCATGGGAGACCAGGCCCACTCCCGGTTGCCTTCAGAGAGAGCCGGGCCGTCAAATTCGTTGACTTGGCTCTTTTTCTTTTTTCTTCTTTTTATTTCTCACGTGGAAGGCGCCGCAGTATTCGGGGCGGTGGATCGCTTTCTTCTTTCTTCAGATTTAATGAACCAGTCAAACTCTTTTCTGGACGAAAAATAAGAAAGCAAGGGGGCTTTTTGTTGTTGCTCTGTGTTTTCCGTCGGGTGGGTTCGCTCGAACCGGGTCGGGGTTGGGAGGGTTAAATACAATGTGACGCACTATCTGATGTAAATAAACAAAAATCTGAGGTATTTGTTTGAAAATCCAAATCCATTTTGGTCTTCGTCACACCCTTTTTATAGCCGAACGCATTGCACCGGTAAAAGACTTCACAGACTTCACCCACACGTACACACCTCTCTTCCAATTTCCCTCTCTTCCAATTTCCCTCTCTTCTTTTCCTTCACTCTCTGTCATCTTTTACTTTTTTATTATTTTATTTTATTTTTTTTATTTTCTTCCGATCTCTCTCATCGATTTATGGACAAAGGATGGGGTCTTACCCTTCGTGATTCCGACCACTCTATTGGGTTCTTCTCAAACAAGCCACCCCCATCCACTGTCAATTCTTTTCACAGCGTTATGTTCCAAGGTATTGATTTTCCCGGGAAACCTGGCCGGACTGACGACGACAAGCCTGCTCTGCCGCTTCCCGATCACACCCGGTTGCCCGTCAACGAGGTCGACTTTTTTTCCGATAATAAAAGGGTGGTTGATGATAGGGAGGATGAAGACTCCAAACCACCGGTTAATATCATCGCCACCGCTGTCAATAAAGACCACAACAATTTCACTGCTCCCACAACTGCCTTCAATCGTGTTAATGTAAGCTTAATTCCTCCAAAAATGTAAATGCTCTCTCAATTTTCAATTTTCTGTGCCTAATTTTTTTTTTTTTTGGGGGGGGGGGGGAATTTAGACTGGTTTGCATCTGTTAACTGCGAACACCGGAAGCGATCAATCGACGGTGGATGATGGGATTTCATCGGATGGAGAAGATAAACGAGCCAAAAACGAGGTGAATTGAACCCCCCAAAAAACACCAAGAAATTTTTAATTTAAATTTGATGGGATGGTGGGATTATATTGAGAATTTTGGTGGGGGAATTTAATTTTATGGTAATTATGGTGTGCAGCTAGCGCAGCTTCAAGTGGAGCTTCAGCGTATGAACGCCGAGAATCACAAGCTGAGGGACATGCTAAGCCATGTGAGAAACAACTACACTACCTTACAAATGCATATCTCCACCTTTATGCAACAGCAGCAACAGCAACAACAACAAAATCAGCAAAATCAGGCCTTGGAATCCGCTCATGAACGACAGGTAACTTTTCAAAAAATAAAAAATCAAATGAATTAAACTGAATTGAATATTAAATTAACACATCCTCATGTTTCAGCCCACGGATAAACATGATCAAGTTGGGAAGGTTGTAATTCCGAGGCAATTTATGGATCTGGGACCCACTGGGAAGACAGGGGGAGGCGATCATGAATTATTCCATTCATCATCGGATGAAAGAACTGGTTCTGGGTCTCCGTTGAACAACACAGAAACCGCCTCCAAAAAGAGCACCGGAAGAGACCAGGAAACGGGTCCTTCCGATCAGGAGAATTCCAATTTACGATCAGATGGAAAAAGATCCATGGGTAGAGAAGAAAGCCCAGAGTCAGAATCTCACGGGTGGGGTGGTCCTAATAAAGCCCCCAGATTGAACCCTTCTTCTAAACCACTTGATCAACAATCCACCGAAGCCACCATGAGAAAAGCCCGTGTCTCAGTCCGTGCTCGATCAGAAGCTCCCATGGTGTGTGTAATTTTTGTCTTTTGGACCTGAATTGTTTTGTGAGGTTTTAATTTGGATTCAATCCACGCAGATTTCTGATGGGTGTCAATGGCGAAAATATGGCCAAAAAATGGCTAAAGGAAACCCATGTCCACGGGCGTATTATCGGTGCACAATGGCAGTGGGTTGCCCTGTTCGGAAACAAGTATGTATTTTTATTCTTTTTAACTAAATTAATCGTCTTTTTCTAATCAAAGTTTGGAGCTTTTTATCTTATTTATTTACTTTTTCTTACTTTTAGGTTCAACGTTGCGCTGAAGACACGACTATATTGATAACAACCTATGAGGGTAACCACAATCACCCACTTCCGCCGGCTGCGATGGCCATGGCGTCCACCACGACGGCGGCGGCTAGCATGTTGTTGTCAGGGTCCATGTCAAGTGCGGACCATAATCTAATGAACCCAAATTTATTGGCTCGAGCCATACTCCCATGTTCCTCAAGCATGGCTACAATTTCAGCTTCGGCTCCATTTCCAACCATCACATTAGACCTCACTCACACCCCGAACCCATTGCAGTTCCAAAGACCAGCACCCACGCCGTTCCACGTGCCGTTCGAAGCCGGACAACCACCGTCTGCCGCCGCCCAATTGCCGCAGGTTTTGGGGCAAGCGCTATACAATCAATCAAAATTCTCGGGGCTACAGCTCTCTCATGATATGGGGGCCAATTCCTCCCATTTGGGTCACCACCAAATTTCACAACCGGCCGTGGCATCATCCCAGCCTAGTGGTGCTTCTTTTGCCGACACGTTAAGTGCCGCCACCGCCGCTATCACCGCGGATCCGAACTTCACAGCCGCTCTAGCCGCCGCTATCTCCTCCATCATCGGCGGAGCTCATTCAAATAATAATAACACCACCCCCACCAATACTACGTCTACATCAAACAACAACGGAAGCAGCAACAACAACAACACCAAAATTAGCAGTTTCCCAGGAAAGTAGATTAAATTAAATTAAATTAAATTAAATTAGAGGCAATAGAGTTACACGTTGGTTAAATCTTTTTTGTTTTTGTTTTTGTTTTTGTTTTGATGATGTCCATCATGGGGGATAACATGTCCATACTTTTTTATTTTTGTTTTAATTTGGGGGGAAATTTACGAACACGACGACTTCATTATTCTTTCCAATTGTTTCATTTTGAATAAAATTAGAAATATAGATGTGAAATCAAAATATTAAATAAAAATGAGGAAAAGAAAAGAGAAGAAAAATCCAAGTGTAGATGGACAACATGAATGTCCAAGTTGTTTGGTTTAATCCATGTTGGTCCATAAATTTCAAAGAGTTGAATAAGAAAGGTTGGAATTGAGAGACGTCAACATAGAGAGAAGGGGAAGAAAACAAAGAATAATCGTCCAGTGGGTACCATATTCCAAGTCTTCCAGTCAATGAAATACGGCCAACTCCATTTTGACACGCAAAAAAGGATATCATATCCAATCCATACACCAAAACACAACTTCCAAACGACACCATGGTTCCTAATTATGTTATTCAATACCCCATTTCAAACATGATCAAACCCTAATTAAAAAAAAGTCTTCTTCTTCTTCTTCTTCTTCTTCTTCTCCTTCCTCCGATGCACATGCAGACACGTGAATCCCGATTTCTGATTTTATTTTAGTGTCGTGTTTGTTTGTTCACCTTCACTTACTAATATATATATATATATATATATATATATATATATATATATTTTCTGACTGCAAAGATTTCCATGTCTTCTTAAATTTCTTGTAATTATTGATTGCTACGCAAAACCCCGCTTTCTTTGTCCAAACAAACAAAGATCTCAGTCGGAAAACAAGGCGGTGGTGGTTGGCTTAGCAGACACACACCCATCAAACTCTCACTCACTATCCTTTTTTAACTGTAATTTAAGGTTAATTTTATGAATTTATATCATAACCTCTTTATTTATTGACCCTAATTATGATTTATTTAACTACACCTTTCTCTACAAACTTATATTACTTTAATTATTCTTAATTCAATTTCTAATATAAATGGCAACGGATATGTCGACATGCCAATAGTAAAAGTCTAAAAAGTTTCAGAATCTTATATACTTACTTTTAGGTGTATAATTTTATGTCATTTAAAGAACAAAAATTTAAAAAAAAAATGCAAGAAGAACTCTGACTAAATGATTTATATTGATAACTCCAAAGTAGGTACTAGATTGAATAATCTCTGCATAAAAAACACCTTGTTTATAGCCGATGGTTTTTCGTACATATTCGATAACGACTTCAACAGATCTGACGTGGTCTTCTCCTTGATGATGTTGAACGCCACATTTCTGGATAGCGTCAATCGGATCAGCCCTAAGGCTTGTCGATCCTTGAGCTTCCACTGCTCTGTGGTCATGGTATTCGACATCACCCCCAACAGGGGTTCTTAAATATCTTTCTGGTACAGATAATCTTCCATCTTTATCTTCCAAAAATCGAAATCGGATCCATCGAACTTCTCGATTCCAATATTTGAACTTTCCATCTTTACAGATCGTAGTGACTTCCGCCTAACTCTGATACCAGTTGCACAACAATTCACTCTACATTAAAATGGGATAAAACCTTATAATTTAATACACATTGAAAGGGAAAAATCAAAATGCAAGCCTATGGTTTCACAATTCACATACTATATAATGCAAAGTAGATGTGACATATTGATGACATGTAAGGGCTAATTAAAGGTTTGTCCCAAGGTGGGAAAATGAAGGTTTTGTTTTTTTATTATTATTTTATTTTCCTAGACAAACAAAAAGACAAAAGCTTATCCTCTAACCCTTCAAAATTTGTGTTTCAGTGTCTCATCAAAACCTTATCCATTTGAAACTCAACCTAGGTAATAAGTTAGGTCAATCGACATAGGTTATATGTCATAGGTTAGGTCAATTCACTACCCTTTGAATAGATGGTTAGATAAAATAAATTTTGTAAAGAATGCAAATTTTCTTGAAATTGATATAATTTATGAAAAAAATCATCAATGATTACTAAATATAATTTATTTACTAATTTCATGAATTGCCCTTTTTATCTTTTGTTTTTCTCTATTGGGCCGTGAATTTCCGAAGATCGGCCCAATTCAATCTCTTTTATTGATACATGGGCCCATTATTGACCCTGTAGTTTTATAAACAGTCGGACCTTGCCCTATTTTGTTTTTTTAATTGTTCGACATGGACGATGTTCTTGTTGGTGGTGAAGCAAGTGGTATGTTCCCTTCAGTTATGTCGGTTTTGGGTGTGATCGTCACAGTTTGTATAACTTGCTTCTAACTTGAGGAACATGATATTTATGCAGAATATTGTAGTGGGTTGATTTAGGAGAATATAAAAATGTTTGTTTTCTTCAAACTTTTGCTCTAATAGCGGCCATGGCATCATGTAACTGGTACTCCTGAAGGGTTCCCTTTGTTATCTTGGCACATAATGCAAGGCACTTGTTTCACAACATGGACAGGCTATTATGGATTTGCTTTTAGCCAAGGTAAGTCCTATCATTTACTTTGTTAACATTGTGGTTATCTGTAACAGCCAGATTTAAGGTCTTGTTTTTACCTTCCACCCACAGGTACTAACACGTGTAACCATCAAAGTCCAGCAGATATTGTCTTCTTTAGACTTTTCCTTTTAAATTTTCTCTAGAGGTTTTTAAGACGCATCTATTAGAGAGAGATTTCAATATCTTTATAAAGGGATGCTTCCTTTCCCTCTTCAACCGATGGGATCTCACAATTCATGCCCCCAACCTCTATTAGGGAGAGGTTTCTATACCTTACAACGAATGTTTCGTTTCCCTCTTCAACCGATGTGGGATCTCACAATCTACTCCTCTTGAGGGCCCAACCTCCTCGTTAACACACCACATGGTGGTTAGAGAGAGATTTCCTCACTTTTACAAAGAATGTTTTGTTTTCCTTTTCAACTAATGTGAGATTTCACAATCTACCTTCATTGGGGGCCTAACGCCCTTGCTACCACACCCCCTGGTATTTGGCTCTGATACCATTTGTAACAATCCAAGCCCACCGTGTTCTCCTCTCCAACCGATGTGAGATCTCACAATCCACCCCTCTTGGGGGCCAGTGTCCTTGATAGCCCACCGCCCGGTGTCTGGCTCTAATACCATTTGTAACAGCACAAGTCCGTCGTGTTCTCCCTCCAACCAATGTGGGATCTCACAATCCACCCCCTTGGGGGCCAGCGTCCTCACTGGCACACCGCTCGGTGTCGGGCTCTGATACCATTTGTAATAGTCTAATCTCACCACTAGCAGATATTGTTCTCTTTGTGATTTCACTTCTAGGCTTCCCCTTAAGGTTTTAAAACGCATCTATTAGGGAGAGGTTTCCACATTCTTACCAGAAATGTTTCGTTCCACTCTTCAACCGACGTGGGATCTCACACAACCACAGCCAGAGAAGATATGTTCCAAAATTGAGGTGTGCACCTTTGATGGAAACTATGGTGTGAGGTTAGTCTAAAAATGCTTCACTCAAGACAGAGTCATTTTTCTGCAATCTGTTGACTGCTTTTGCTCTCTGTTGCACAAAAGATCAATTTTATTAACTCACGGTTGGTGATTGATACCAGTACTAAAACTGAGAGTGTGCTGAATGAGAAAGATGGTAGAGCATCTGGCAGTGTCTCCGATGCTATGTGCTCAGCCTGGAAGATGGCGTTCTCCCGGATGCAAGACAAGCTGAAGCAGAACAAAACTCTGAGAACATAGCATTGATTATGTGAGTGAGGTGAATCAGTTCTGTTACCATCTAACTCATCTATCGATTATCCATCTTCAGCTCACTCGTCTTTCATGCTTTTGCAGTTATGTGATCAAGGGTTGAACCAAGTTGCAGCATTGGTTGACTGTGAACGGATCCCTCAATTGCCTACTGCCTCCTTCACCATTGGTGGCGCATCTTTTGTTCTTACTTGTGAACACAACAGTACGCTCTCCAGATGGATGAGAGGGACCTGCAGCTCACTGGATTCATACCTATGGACGCTCCTCCTCCTCGTGGATCCATCTTCTTGTTCTCTTGCATTTTCTTAAAACTCAGAATCATGTCTCTTTAAGATGATGATTCATCTCATTGATTGATTTAATATCGTTTGGTGAAATATGGTTCTCAATACAGGATCTCTTTGGAGAACATCGCATGTGTGGGCTCAAATTTTGATACAACACTCAACATCTACACGTTTAGATCAATATGACATAAGAGTCCAAACAAGAGCACACGAATGTTTTGTTCTTCTCGCTCACAATCCACTAAGAGATCAGCATTCTTGCTGGTACGTCGTCAATCCATATGGGATCTCATATATGGCTTTTAAGGGATGGCTTTTAAGGATTCAATGAACGGTAAAAGAGATATGGTGTTGAGAATAGTAGTGAGTAAAATGAATGTGGGCAGTTTCAAAGACCAGAGAGGATGAAACTAAAAGAGTGTTAAGTAAGCAGAGAAAGAGGGAAAAGGAAGGCCACTTGAATGATTAATGCAGACGCAAGGAGCGGTTACGCAAGCATTCAAATGCGTTTGTGTATAGAATAATTGTTGATTGGGGTGTGAGTCAGATGAGATGTGTGCTGAACTTTTGTGTCAAAAGGTAACAAAAAAATGGGCTAAGGGTAAGGGAACTGCGTGGTTTTGGTTGGAGGATACACAGTTCAAAAGCTTTAAGAAGGTGATACCCTGACGCTGCCTCCACTCCACCACCCTCCACCTTTGCTTTTCCTTCCTTCTTTTTCTGGTTTTTTTTTTTTTTTTTTTAACTTTTCAGCGTTTCTTTGCCGCCAATTCAAGTAACCTATAACCCTCTCTCGATTCACGCTTATTCTTCTCACCTAACAATTCTCTTCTTTTTCTTTATGTTTCCCATCAACAGTTTTTTAAAACTCGCAGACAAAGCTTCGAATTTTGTCCAATGGATAATTATTGGGAAACAAAAAACAAAATTATACCCAAATAAGATTAGGTTTCATGAACCAAAATTATACCCATAACAAAGAATTAAACAGTATTTAATTGAGCGGCAAGGGATAAGGTGGGTTGGGTAAGCATCGTTGTGTAGTGTTAGGCTCATCATAATCAATTATTAATGAGAGAGATTTAGATTATCAATTATTAATGAGAGAGATTTAGATTTATAGTTACAGTTGTATTAATTATTCATAAAGTAAGGCTTCAACAAAGGCAAGGTCATTCTTTAGATTAAAGAATTTAAATTACAACGAAAACATTATACCCATCATTCCTCATCCAAAAGGAAATTAATTAAAAAACAATGCTTTGGAAGAATATCCTCTCCGATGGGTTATTTTACAACTAATTACAGATGAAGAGCACCATAATCAACGTGATTAAATCAACTGAGCATGTGATGCCATGTGAAAATTTGAATTGGCGTAGCCTCTTCAATTACATTAACCAGATTACCTAAATCACCGCCGCTCAAAAGTTGCCATTATCCTTCTCCTTTGTCGCTGCTGTGATTGGGTTTGATCAAAAAGAAGAAGACGGCGGCCGTCCATTGGCTACAATGTAAGGGATAAAGTCTCTAAAAGGTCAAGCCAAAGAGAACCGAATAACTTGTTCTCATCAATTTTCAATTTTTAAAAAAACCCAATTTGCCAACTCAATTTTACTCATCGAAGAAACTATTTTTAAATGATTTCCAACATTGTAAATTTACGATATAAAAGCTCCCTCTTTTTCTCATGATCTCATCCATCGCACCCACCTCTGGTTTCTCAATGGAGTGGACGAGAGGAAGGGTAATCGGCTGCGGCTCCTCTGCCGCGGTCTCTGTCGCCACTGATCTCCGGTCTGGCCAACTGCTGGCGGTTAAATCAGTTGAGTTCGACCGCTCGGATTTTATTAAGAGGGAACAGAGGATTCTTTCGCAATTGAATTCTTCGCGTGTTATAGCTTGTAAGGGATTTGATGTTACGTTGGAAAATGGGAATTTGATGTGCAATCTTTTGATGGAGTTTGCGTCTGGTGGGTCGATTTTGGATGCGATGGAAGCGGCTGGTGGTCGGTTAGATGAGGCGACGGCCCAATTCTATACTCGAGAGATTTTAAGTGGGCTCGAGTATGTTCATTCTAATGGTGTGGTGCATTGTGACATTAAGTGTTCTAATATTTTGGTCGGTGAAGATGGGATTAAAATTGCGGATTTTGGTTGCGCGCGGCGGGTGGAGGAGGTTTCCGGTGGAAATTTGGCCGGAACGCCGATATTCATGGCGCCGGAGGTGGCACGAGGAGAAAAACAGGGGTTTGCAGCTGATGTTTGGGCAGTGGGCTGCACAGTGATCCAGATGGTGACCGGTCGAGCTCCGTGGGAGGATATGTCCGATCCAGTGGCCGCCATTTACAGAATTGGGTCCAGCGATGACTTGCCGGAGATTCCGAGATTCATGTCGGAGCAGGGCAAGGAGTTTTTGCGGCGGTGTTTGATCAGAGACCCAGAAGAACGGTGGTCCGTAAGTGAGCTCTTAAAACACCCTTTTGTTCACGAGCAGAAATCTCGTCCCAAACAGAATCCAAGAACACCGACGAGCATTTTGGAGCAAGAATTATGGAACACGATGAACGATTTGGAAACAGTTCAAAGTCCGATCAGACCAAAATTTTACAGAACGCCATTGCAGAGGATCCAGCAACTGAGCGAAGTGTCCAAATTTCAGTCTTTTGGAATACCCAATTGGGAGAGCAACGAAGATTGGGTAACAGTGAGAAGCAAAGACATGGAAGAAGAAGAAGAAGACAGAGAAAAAAGAGATTTCATTTCTGAATTGGAATTGCCCTGTTCCTCTGAATCCATGGCAACGACAACTCAGAATGGAGCTGGTGATCAAAATTATATTAGTATTAGTAAAAGCAGTGATTATTGTTGCAAAAAAATCAACTTTCCTATGTCCTCTGTTTTCAGCCAGATTGTATCATTGAACATTGTTAATTTTTGTAATAATAACAAATTATGTTATGTCATTTCTTTGCTTCTTGTGTTTCTATCCGCCAGTTCAGTTCATCTTACATCTTTTAGATATAATGAATTCATTTTGATTTATCACAATATTGACGAAAATGTCGCCGAAAGTTGCCCATAATTTATAGTAAGATGAAGTTCATATTTAATTCGAAGAGTGGTGCATGAAAGTAAAGCATATGGTTGAGAAATCAAAGCGTGAAGTTCTGTGCATTAATGATACTTGTCTATGCCTAGTTTGAATTTTGAAGTTGATTGACAGAGCCAGCCATCGGAAAAGAATAAATCAGGGCTTGTTTTAAAATGTAACTTAACAGCAAAGCCATGCCGACAATAATGTCCGCGCAAACTTTTTCACTGTTAAAGTAGTCAAAGCCGACAACAATGATGCTCAGGTTCAGCACAAATCGCCCATATTTTGGATCTGAGGGGGTTTCCTTTGGTTTGTGCTGCAGTTCTCTGGCTCCACAATAAACAGAGTTACAAGCTTTTCCATCAAAATGATTTCAAGGCATCGAATCAAATGATATGTCCTAAGAATGAGCTTTTCAGAAGCCAAATTCTTCATGGATGGTTAAAGCAAAATATGAAGAAAAAAGAAATAGCCACAGAAAAATGACAGAAGCAGCCAAGGTGTATTCTATTACAAACCTGAACTTATCACAAATTTTCTTTTTAATAAAATCCAATCTTGTTTCAGTGTTTTACCTTCCTACTTTAAACAGAGACAACAAGCCAAAAATCCCATCTTCTTTTGCCATTGTGCATATAGAAGTAAACAGCCATCACCTACCCATCATGGAGTATCTAGGTCCTAAATAATACGAGGGGAAATGGAAGCACAAAGCTTGAAGTGAAATTCATTAAGCAATATGGGGTTCCTTAGGAATTCTTCTTGCTTCCCGATCGAGACAATCTGTGATCTATAGATTGTATCTGGCTCCGAAGGTTCTGGTTTTCCTCAAGCAAACGGTCGTACTCGAGCAGCAACCCTTCAGATTGCTTCCTTAGAGCAACTACATTGGCCTCTGAAGTAGTTATATCTTTGGTCTTTGAGTCAAGTTCCAATTCCAACTGTTTGAGTCTTGTCTGCAGGGTGGTACCTTCTTCTTCCAGTGCTTTGATCTCCTCCGACTTGCTAACTTTCCCGTCCTCCATCACTCTGCTCTGCTTTTTGATAGCTTCCATGCCTTTCCTCCGTAGACGCAGCTCTCTCATATAATGATGTAATCTATCAATCATAAGTGCCAGGAATAGAGAGCCCCCTGCAACCAAATTGTCCACCTAGTTCAGTAAACCCCAGAACTCACCATTCATGAGCTATGTAGCATTCAGCATTCAAAACCAATAATAAGCTTTTATTAAATCACCATTCATGTGATGATTCTGTTAACCATGATGAAGTTAACTAATAAGCTGAAATAAAGATATTAAATCCTTTTGTAAACATATCTTTAAATCAATGCATTTCAGGGTCTTCACACCATTAGATAGATTGTGTTCACATTATAGTTATGAAAAATGAGAAAAAAGATAGCCAAACAGATCGATTAAAGAACCACAAACTTTGACAAGCTGATGTCACCGATGAAACAGTGACCAAGGTTAAATCAAGGAGCTCAAAACACCACAACACCAAATGAGCAACAGGGTAAGATGTACTGATACTCTTTCAGAAGCTAAGCAAATCTAATCAATTCAAGCCATTCCAATTCTCAATCCAATTCTTCAACTATTCTCAAACAGATCATTTCCAGGAACAATCCACATTCAAGAGCCAAAACCAAATTCAGGTACAGAAAAATCAATTGAGTTAAATGGCCATATGGGTCGAGAAATTCAATCCAAAACACGCAAGAAAGATGAAAAGTTTCGGCTTACCCATGAGCGTGGCCTCGAGAAGATGCTTGACCATGAGAACCTGATCGGTGGGGTTGACGGCACCGTCATCGATCCAACGCTTCCGGATCGTAACCATACTGTAAACACTGGAAAGCAGAACAATAAGAACGGTTCCGGCGACAGTCTTCACCATAATAGGACCGCGTCCGCGCTTCAGGCGATCGACGGTCAAGATCACAAGCTTCCTCAAAGGGGTTTTGAAGGAGAAGAGCAATATGAGAAGCATCTCCGATAGAATCACCGTAAAGAGTAGCTGAATCATTTGGAGAAATGAAGATTGGATTTGCAGATTTCGGATCTTGGGTAAGAGGGAATAGTGATGGGTGAGATTTAAGATGTGAAAAATGATGGACCCAGAAAGGGGGGCGTGCCCAAAAATGATGAGATGGGTTGTGTTGTGGAATGGAAGCAATGGAGGGAAGGTGGGCGCAATCACTGAGCAGAAGAACGAACCTCCGGAGAACTGAATCTTCAACTAATGGATTTTAAAGAGGAAAAGAAGGAAAAGGGGGAGACTTTGAGAGAGAGATGTCATGGCCTTCCACGTTCTACCTGCTTCTTAATTGATATTTGTCCAGACAAAATGCCAAATTGTATTTATTATTTATTATTCATTATTCATTATTCATTATTTTGGTTTAAATTTCATTTTCCCCTTCAATTCTCTGAATTTTGAAATAGTAACTAGTCCTTATTATATTATTATTGGATTTAAATATGTTAATTATTAACATTTCTTATATGTTTTCATTTAAATAAAAAAATTGTTTTAAAATTTAACAAGAGAAGGGTAAGCAAAAAATCAAATTAATAACATAATACCAAAGTTTTGAATGCTCCATTAAAAATAATAATTGTTAAAAAAAATCATATGAAATGATATTTTGTCCCTGAAAATCCAGAGTCCATCTATAATGGTGGCGTTTGCGTAGTAATGAAGAGAAAGGGTATAAAGAGGAAGCAACCCAAATGATCAGAATCCTTATGAGTTGCATATAAATATGAATTTGAAAAGCAGAAATTGACAAACCCATTCAGCTTTTCTTGTTCTGTCCCTCTCATTCAAGCCCAAATGGAGATTTACAAGAAAAGGTTCGTGTAACCGCCAGAGGGATTCATAAAGGAAGACAAAGAAACAAAGGTATACAAGCTGAGACGGACAATGTACGGGTTAAAGCAGACATACTTACGAAGGCCTTGTCAGAAGAAAAGCTCTGTACTTACATATGCAACTTTGAATGTGTTGAGATATGATTCAAAGTATTCAAAATGAAGATATGATTTAGAGTAGTTAGATATGATTCAAATATTCAAACTACCAAGACTTTAGGAGATTGTTATTAGATTTGAGTTTATCTAGATTTCTATGATTTACTATTGCTGGTCCAGTGTATTAGCTATAAATACTGGAATTGTGTAACCCTCTAAGTATCGAGTTAGTAGACAATAATAGAGCACTGCAGCTTTCATCTATTCCTTTCCATTCCTATCTCTTTCACTGTCCCTCTTTCCAACATATACTACAAGTATGTCATTTTTATCTTGTTTGATATCGAGTTGGTTTAAGATAATCATTATATACATGATTATCATCGAAATCGACCGTCTCAATCATAATTGTCTTCGAATTTCTATTTCCTGGGTAAAGGTAAACAAGAGGGTGATGATTGGCAAATGCTTACATAAGTACTAAGGAGCATGGATTTCACCTGCCATGGACAATTCATATATCCTAAACTCCCCTAAGATTTGTTCACCGTCAAGGATTTGGCTCGAAGATTCAAAAATATTCCCCTGAAAACAACCAAAGAATAGAAGTTTGAGGGTGGTTTTAGCAACTGGAGACTGCAAAAGAATCGCCAACCATTGAAGGGAAAGGAGACCGACGAAGTATACGTACCAAACGAATGCAACCAGGCTATGGAAAATGACACGCAACTGAAGTGGTACGTACTGGTGATTTATCCAACCAACAAATGGCCAGAACTGAAAATTTATAGGCTCTATTAATATGAATGAGTTCTAATGGGATTCAGTGCATTAGAACTGGCCAGTTTGAGTTGAAAAATAATGCAAAGATGATGAGTGGGAAAAGGGAAATACCATCCATGCAGTTAGCTGAACTGACGGGAATTCCTTTTTAACCTTAGCCTTTACCACGACCCAAGGCCTTCCTGCATTTCAATTTCCAGTAGACAGAAGCAAAGATCTTAAGTTCTTCAGTGCTATGAAAATCATAAAATAATCTAACAACTATCTTACAAAGTTCCATCTCAAATCAAAGTTTTTTTTTTTCTTCTTTCATCCTAAGGTTTAAGTGAAGAGTTTGGATAGAGATTAGAACCTTTGGTTGAAGGGAATTCTATAACAGAAGAGTTTGGATAAAGCTACCAAGATTCATTGCCTTTATTTAAGCTTCTCCTTTTTTTCTATTTCCTTTTTTCATGTGCCCGCCATCAACTTAAAGCTATTATTGAAATAAATAAAATGGGGTCTGGGAAGTAGATGAACTTTTAGGACAATATTTTACTTATATTTTTAGATGCTTGCTTTTTTAATATGATAAGTTGAGAAGTATACTCACTTTCAATTATCAGTCCGTAATAAACCAAGAAGACAAAGTGGCTCAAAGGAGAGGATGTCAGCTGTTCCACCAGCACCTGAGAACAAAACCAAACAAGTCATATATAAGGAGTTTAACACTTTCACTTATTACATCCAACATTCGTGACAAACCCCAATGTTGAGGATAATTGAGAGTTGTAGCCCCACATTGGTTCATTAAGAAGAAGATGATGGGTTCATAAGTAAGGAACACTATCTCCATTGGTACGAGGCCTTTTGGGGAAACCGAAAGCAAAGCTATGAAAGCTTATGCTTAAAGTGGAAATATCATACCATCGTGGAGGGCCGTGGTTTCTAACACCCAACACCCATATCTCGCTTAGTTCATTGCAAATGTACTTATAAATCTCAAATTGGGTCGAACAATTGACCATGACTATTTGATAACCTTTGTTGGGGAATGTAACGACCCAAATCCATTGTCTCCTTGGACTTTCCCTTTCGGGCTTCCTCTGCTAGAAGGTTTCCACACCCTTATAAATGGTGTTTCCTCCCCAACCAATGTGGGATATCACAATCCACCCTCTTTGGGGCCAGCGTACCTACTGGCACATCGCTTCGTGTCTACCCCCTTCGGGGAACAGCAAGAAGGCTGGCTGACACATCGTCCGGTGTCTGGCTCTGATACCATTTGTAACGACCCAGATCCACCGCTAGCAGATATTGTCCTTTTTGGGCTTTCCTTTTCGGGCTTCCCCTCGAGGCTTTAAAACGCGTCTGCTAGAGGTTTCCATACCCTTATAAATGGTGTTCTGTTCTCCTCCCCAACCAATGTAACCGATGTGGGACATTACAGGGGAATTCCAATACTACAGCATTTTATCTTGATGATACGATTATCCCTCTTCAATACAGCCATATGATCATTTAAATAATGTAGGTTACCAATAGAATCTAATGGGATCTCATGATAGTACGGGCCTGCTCTTATTCAATAGCAAACATCAAATCAATTACTCCCAATTCTTGGTACAAAAGAAAGAATAAATGGAAGCAGACAGTGTACCTTCTTGGCAACTGTTTTTGAGTCTCTTTTCCCCTGGAAGATCTTTTCAAGTATTTGGTGAAGAAAATGGCCAAATGGTCCAAGGTAAAGACATCCATAAAGCTGCATGAGCCAATCATGAGCAAGAACCAATGTTTCTTTCAACAATACACACAAGCATGGAAGACAAATAAACTACTATCCAATTTCAGTGAACATATGCATATAGACCCATAAAATAGGAGGTTGTCAAGACGGGCTTATTGAATACTCATCAAAGATTATGTATTCAAACTATTATTTTTGTATAGAAGGGAGATGATTTGCAGCAAATGTTAAAGACTGTTCAGAATGAACCTAGAGAGGACCATACCACTTTGAGAAGAATTCGTCTCAACTGAAGTTTCTGTATGCCAATAAGCTTCTGGGAAGTCACATCGCTTATCGCAATCAATACTCCTGAAGTGATTACCTGATTCAACAAAAGAACACATCTAACAAGAGTGCCTTAACAAGAATGGCGTAGCTTAAGCCTTAAATAGAAAGGAGAGAATCCTCACAGAACTGGAACCCAAAGGACTTTTCAATGAATCAAAGTATGGTAACAGACAAGATCAATCTCAATTTATTGAGTAACATCTAAGTATTTGAAAAACTAAGGCTCAGTTTCATAACAATTTGGTCTTTTAATCTTGAAAATGAAGCCAATAACTATTACTTCCACCAACCCAAGTAAGTCCCTTCATCAGTGAAAATCGAAGAGACACTTTTTTACTCTTTCCCAGCAAGGTACAGGTTCAGTAGACGCTGAAGTAGATAACGGGAGTTGAGTGACAGAAAAAAAACGGGTTGGGACAAAACAAAATTGGGTCTGATTTATCTTCCACCGTAATGACTTAAGGGTTTCAGCTTCCATAATCCCCGTCGCTATAAACCTCACTGAACGGAACTGATTAAGAGCTTACAAATTTCCAGTAGCGAGACATCTCAGTATAAAGGAAAGGGGAAATCACCTTGGTTCTCAAAGGATGCTGGTAAAGCTGCGAAACATACTTCTCAAACGCCTTCTTCGCAAGAGACATTGTTTCTTTCTCAGCTTCTTCTCCCAGGGATGAAGGTTTGAGTTAACACACTCCGTTTTCATCACTGTAGTTCATCAAATCTTATCGTCCGCTTCTTCAAAATATCTGTGGCTTGACGGGGGGCCACATGGTTGCCAACAACCCCCAAAACACGAGGGAAAATGAACCAAGAGATCGCGGTCATTTGGGGCAATCTCATTCTAACCAGCCCGGTCAAGAATTATCATCCCCTCCGCCTTTGACATTAACACGACGTCGTTTCACCCATTACAATAGAATAGAGAGAAGATATAATATTTTTCAACGAATGAAAAGAGGGAACGAGTCAGGAGTCAGCAAACGGGCCGAGTCAATTCAGCCCGGATTCTGAATTTCTTCGTATCTGAATTCTGACCCTTCAATTCGTATACTCTATAAAACCACCCCACCACCATTGCCACTCCAATTCAAGAAGCTCTGTAATTCTTCCAACAATGGCTTCCTTACCAGCTTCATCTCTCCTCTCATCTTCCTCTTCTTCAAGAAGAACAATTATCCAAGCTGCAATTCACGTCCCAAAGCTTCCCAATCTCAGAATCTCAGTTCCCGGCCTCCCTAAAACTTCCACCAACTCCATTAAACTCGTTGAACAGCTTTCCTTGAATGAACCCATCAATGTCATTCCCAGCGAATCCCTTTTCACGTCCACAGCACACCTCCACGCTATCTTACAGGCAGTAGCCGACCGGGTCGAAATGCACAACAACATTGGCCAACAGCGAGATAATTGGAATTCCCTTTTGCTTAATTCCATTAACGCGATCACTCTTACCGCCTCCGCCCTGGCAGCCGGTGCATCCGCTGCCGGAGCCGTTGGCGCTCCTCTTTTGGCTTTGAAATTGTCGTCGGCTCTGCTTTTCTCTGCCGCAACAGGGATGTTGGTGATGATGAACAAGATCCAGCCTTCACAGCTGGCTGAGGAGCAACGAAATGCGGCTAGATTGTTTAAACAGCTCCAAAACCAAATCCAAAGTTTGATTATGGTTGGAGCTCCCACTCAAACTGACGTCGATTCCACCATGGCAAGAGTCTTGGCGCTTGATAAAGCATACCCACTTCCATTACTTGGTGTAATGCTCGAAAAATTTCCCAAAACCTTCAAGCCGGCTTCATGGTGGCCTAATTCTTCTAATTACAAAGCTAAGACAAAGAATGAAAGGGCCCATTTTGATGGAAAGCAACATGAAAGGTTTAATGGATGGAGTCATCAACTTGAGGCCGAAATGAGAGAGGTAGTTGAAATCATAAAGACAAAAGACGCAGAAGAGTATGTCAGACTTGGGAATTTAGCTTTGAAGATTAACAAAACTTTAGCCATCTCGGGACCACTCCTCATCGGCATTGCGGCTTTAAGCTCTGCTATTGTGGGTGATTGGTCAGTGGTGGCAGCGGTGGCCGGATCTTTGGCCGCCGCCGTGAATTCGTTTGAACACGGAGGACAAATTGGGATGGTGTTTGAGATGTATAGAAACTCCGCCGGCTTCTTGGGGCTATTGGAAGAATCCATTAACGGGACGCTAGAGGAGGCAGATTGGGAGAAAAGGGAAAATGGGCAAGTCTTTGAAACGAAGGTGGCTTTGAAATTGGGGAGAAGCTTATCTCAGTTGAGACAATTGGCTTCTAAATCAGCTGCTGCTAGACAAGAAGGGATTTCAATTGATGAGTTTGCTAGCAAACTGTTCTGATTCTTTTTCTTAGAAGTTTTGATTCGTTGATTCTTTGAGATGGGAAATGTTCTGTCCATCCAATCATTTAAAGAGAACAACATTATTTATTTATTTATTTATAATTTACTTAAACTATAATCCTATGGTTTAATTTATATATATTATATATCCAATCATACAAATCATATAAGAACAAATTTCCAATATTTAAAAATACATGATCTCCATTTAAACCTTTTCTAAATTATATAAACCCAATTTGTAATTCAACGAAAAAGAATCGTCCAAAGGATTCGAACTGGGGTGGCGGATAAGCCAAGAAGAGGAAAATGAAAGGAAAACAAGAGTTTAATTTTATGGGGGTGTTGGGGAACCATTCGAAAAATTGGTGGCTTTGGATTCATTTACGATCATCCCTCAGATTCTTTGTCCACTAAATTACACAGATATTATTATGGAGTTCAATTCCCAAATACATCACTGCTTTGCCTGTCTTTCTCAACTAAATCACAATTGCTTCTTCTTCTCTTCGCATTTGATCTTCATCTACATCTTCACCAGGTTGGTCCCTTCGATTTCTTGCGTAATTTGTCTATCTTAATTTGTTAGAATCGGTTTCGGATGTTCTTGATAGTAAAGGAAATGGGCATTCGATTATGGATGTGATTGTTCAAATTCCATGGCCCTAGAAATGAACCTTGTGAAGAAAGAAATGTTAGACAGGATGAGTTTCGTTATTTGCTTGCTTGCTTCGTGGCTGGGTCAATGAAGTGCTTTTTATTTGGTAAATAGTAATCGTAGTAAGGATGATAATCCCTCTTTGATTTGTATAAATTTCATTTTTGGTGAATGATATTCATTCCTTCATTCATCAAAATGTATGGAATCCAGTTTTGAACTCCATTGTTGGTGGTGTTTTGGGATTTGATTTTATGTTCTCTTTCCTTTTCAGTTTTAAGGGTTTAGTATCCTTTCTTGCATCTGTTTGAAGGAAGCTGTATAATGGTTCAGTCATGTTGACGGTATATGCTCCGGGAGCTAACAAGAAATTTCTGGCATGTCTAGACTCTATTTCGCTGCTTGAGAATTCTCATGCTAATTCTCTTAGTTCTCTAAAGAGTTCTTGCAACAGCACTCTACACAATCCCTCATCTTTTAAAAGGTGTGGTCAATTATATACTCCTTGTGTTTTGAGCCGTTTCACTTCCAGAAGATGGCTAGTAAGTAGCTATCGAATTCCAGATTGAGTTTTGACATTTTCAGATTCTTATGCCTCAGGATTTGGAATAAATGACATATGTTTCTTTGAATATTTCAGTGCTGCTCGGATAGTTCCCCATCTCCTTCAGATGATGAATATCGCTCTTCACGCAACATAGCTATCAGTTTGTTTAGGCGATATCGGAATTTTGTTGACCGAGGAGGCAGTGACAACCTAAAGGTGCATTCTGTAGTTGAAGTGATCCTTCCTTTTCTTGTGAGATCTGTCTGCTGTCTTCTTAAATTAACATGTCTGGTACTTATCAGGATTTCATTAGTGCTGGGGTGAATGCATATGCACTTGGTTGTACTGATGAAGGTTTAAGAAAGGAACTTATTGATATGAAGAAATCTGGTCTTCAAATTGAAATAATGCAGAGTTGTGGTGGAATCACTGGTTTAAAATCCAAAATTATCTCAGAGGAGGTATGTTACGCCCCGTCGATATGAACAAGCTTGTTTCATTGGCCATGCTAATGTTCTTCATGGATATTTCTGTTTGACGTTTGTGCAATTTCCTGAATCTCGATTCTTGCTAAACTGCAAAGTTACCTTCATAGAGGGTGTGAATGAAACTTCATTATGTGCCTTTTTCCTTATTTCTCTTTGTGCAGATTGAAGAATGCATTCTGTGGCTAAGCATTGTATTCATCACCATCTTGTGTACACCACAACCAACTGTAGTTAGATGGTCATCTACACCTCCGGTGTCAGATGAAGTAAGGCTACAGTGGAAAGGCTTCTGTGCTCTCATTGCCAATGCATATTATGTGCGAGGCATGGCATGGTAAGGTGCTCTTTATATCATTTCTCACATCTCAATTAGTGTTGTTTGTGAACTGCTCATTCGTAATGAAATGAGCTATTAATTGTATCCATACTAGAGAATAACCATTTAGGCTTTATCTAGACTCCTTTTGTTATTTTTTATGAAGGCTGCCTGTAAACACCCTACAACTTGAGCAAATGGCAGTGGTGGGAAGAGCGGAGGAACCTTCAGTTGTTGCTAGCCGAATGCTTCTAGTGTTCAGCACACTTGAGGTATGTCTGAAACTGCTACAAGCTCCATGGATTATCCGCTACCCAGTATTTCAATACCCATGTTTTTCTTCTTTGTCTGTTATACAAGTTATTATGCAGCAATGAGGCATTGAAGTTTCATTATTGTGATATGTGCAGGTAGTTAGTCCACAATGGCCTAAAGTATAGACATGCAGAGATCGTGAATCAGATTTACTCGACCTTTTCTCTGGTTCAATTTGTAGCAAATTTGCAAATTATTCTTAAGAGCCATTTTTTCCTTTCAAATGATATTTATTGTCACAGTTCATACATGTCACGATATTCCCATCGGAATAGAATACAGCTCTTATAAATTATTACCATATCTACTACCCCATTATCAGATGTTTGCTTCTCATGAATGCCAATCACAGGTGGAAAATTAATTTTTGCTTCTTGAACCCCTACAGATAATTACATGAACAGTTCTAAGTACTGAACTTCCATGGATCATCGACAATATTATCTGAGAAGTTTGACTTTGCATCTGCATATTTCATCAAATTTGCTCTGAAAAACCACAAAATCGGGTAGGAGGAAGGAGGAGCTAGAGAACTAGGAAGCATTTCCTGTTGGGACTATTATTCTGATAAAAGATTGTGTTTTTTGCATCTTTGTGCATGGACTGTTATGCATCAACTGCAGGATATAGATATGAGAAATATATTTCATCGGCTAATGCTCCTTTGGGGTATAAATGAAATCTATATCTGTTTCTAATCGCCAACATTCAATCAATTATCCATGCTACATAAAAGGTCAAAATTGATTTGATAAATATACAACAAAAAAGAATTAAAATCACAAATCAGAGGAAGTGGCAAGTGCTGTAGAATCTTTTAATGTTTTCCTTGCACGCCAACGAATTGCAGCTGCAGTTTCTGATGATCCCATCTGTAAAATCAGCAGGAACAAGAAAGAACTCATGAACATGGAGGATAAGTGGATAACGCAATCATGTAAAATGTGACCGGAAAAACAGCAAAGGTGTGATTCATTTCTTCAGCCATAAGCACTAGTTCAAAAGGCTAAAGTCCTGTATTTCTCCTAAAGAATGAAGGAAAGCCCATCTAATGAAATGAAAATGATGGTGGATTTATACACAGAACGGTTATACTGAATCAATGGTGAACGAATATAAAATAGTATGATTTCGTACGCATATCTGTGAGGGATCAAAAAGAAAAAACCATTAAGCTGTCATGTACATTTCCATTATATAGAAACTTAAAGGTTACCTTGGATTCCATTATGTAGTACTCTTGCCACAAACTAACATCTTGGCCATAAGTTGCAAGTGCAGATTCAAATAGCTTTCGAGCACTTGCAAGACCATTTTTATCCCCTGCAGATGCAAGATTGGATTCCAGCTGAATACACGTTCGGTATATAGCAAGCCCTGGATGCGGTAATCCAAGAAATCTGTTGAAACAAGGAAAAAAAGGGTTTTCAGAAACTGAACTGGGAAACTTTGTAAAGCAGATTTCTTATATCATGGAGAACCACTAAACAAAAAATCTTATAAAAAAAAGAATTCTCTGGTGTCGATGACATACTTCTTATACACTTCTCTTGTACGCTGAATTCCATCTTTTTGTAGAACGAAATCAACAATGGCTGACGAGAGTGAGAACCCATCCTCACTGCCACCAGATTTAGCCAATGCTAAAAGAGAAATTTCCACCAATTGGTCAAAATAATGACTTTGATTCGCAAAAAACTTCAGGACCTGAAATGGGTAAACCAAAATAATAAGGGCTCTGAGTTCTAGTTTCTAATTACCACATCATCTCAAAGTCAAATATTTTGAATAAATTAAACGTGTACGCTAGAGTGACCCATGCCATGAAATCAGATTCATGGAAAGATCGACATTGTTTAGCAGAAAACTGAATATATCAGGGTGGCAGATATACCGTTAGCCACAGGCTCCCTGATTCTGAAACTGGGAAATCTCTCAGAACCTCTTTTGTCAGTTCAAAGATGGACTTCAGATCACTTGGAGAAGGAGAATCCTTCAAAATGGATTTTATTTCTGTGGAGACTCTCAATACCCATAACTTGACAGAATTCGAAAGTTTTCCACTGCAAAGTCTTTCGGCAAGCTTCCGTGCTTCATCCAATTTCCCAAGTTGCAAATAAAACGAAACATATTGGCAAGCTAAATCGTCTGTAATATGTCCTAAAGTTAGAGCCTTTTCATACACCATCAAGAGTCGTGAAGTAGTGTTCATAGTACAACTAGATAACCCAGACGATTGTTCTTCCTTAACAGAAGTAATGATGTTCATCAAAAACTCCACATACAAGCTAAACATTGCAGATGAAGGCACATGCTCTAAGCCTTCCTCGTAGACCTGTTGTTATAAGTATGGAAAAAGCAACCTTAGACACTCAATAGAGATAAAGCAGGCACATAAGTCATATGCATAATTTTCATTTAGCATGTTTTGTGTAAATAAATATCATACGTCCTTCAAAGCTAGTAATTTTTTAAAATAAAGAAATATTATATGCTTTCTTAAACTACCAATAATCATCAATGAATAAAGTGATAGACATAAGATAACTATGCAGATTCGAAATCCATCATGCATAAAATTCATACCTGGACAGCTTTTTCAATCCGAGAGTTTTCCTTTTTATCACTCATTCCCTGTACATCATCGGGATTATACTGAAGTCTAGCCAGCCAGTCCCAATATTGTGGTTCTGTACCGAAGTCTCTTTTTATATCCTGTAATATTTTAGAGTGCAATTCTTCTGAATGAGCTAAATCCATTGCTTCCAGTATCTCCAAGACACGCTTTCTCAGGCTAAAACTAGAAGGAAGTGCTTCAATTGCACCATTGTAGATAGTTTCTAAAATGTTTGAACCCTGCTCTCGAAACAAATCTAATTTATTTTTCGACTCCGTTTCACCGACTGATCCATCATTATCTTCTCTATCCTCACCAATTGACATAAATAAATCTTTATTTTCCTCTCTCCACTGTTTATCCTCGGCAGCTTTATTTTCACGGACTAGACTTCCCTCGTCCTCTCCAAGGGCAACCTTTCGAGCCTTCAACTTATTAAGATAAGTAAGCTCCATCCGTAGATATTCAACCCACAGATCCTCTGAAGTTGGACAAACCCTCAGACCACTTAACATAAGTGAACGTGCTGCATCCACATTGGTATCATGATCAAACTCCCAAGCAGCAGCATATACCCAGACCCCTGGAACTTTTGGGTGAAACCTAATCAGCTGAGCGAGAACCTGCAAAAGTTGGAAGAAAAACGATTGATATCGACACAAATAACTCAACTACCCTCGTTTCGTCTCAGTCTACAACAAAAGGCCCAGAATCAAAATGTACATCAATTTCTCCCCTTCTATGTATAAACATGAACGGCAACTATATTCAATCTGAAAGAGGAATATATTACCTTCTTCATTCTCCCGTTCTTTTGTGCTCTACAAAACTCGAGATAGCGAAACCAAAGATCAATATCACCCTTATACCTAGAAACTGCAAGCCGATAAATGTACAAGATCCTTTTCACACAAGCGAAGTCGGAGACAGATTTTCTCATCTTTTTATTTCCCTGCTTCTTAAGCTCACGAGATACTGCCTTCTTCCTGAGACGCCGAAGCGAGTCCAAATGGGTCTCGTAATCGATATAGGCCACATAGTCCTGCTTAAGCGGACAAGGTCGTTTGAGACGGTACTCAAACTTGCGCCGCTGCTTTACAATCTCGGCAATCTCTCGCCGGGAGAAGAGGCCACGTTGCTCAAGGTCATCGAGCTCGTCGAGCATGCCCTCGAGTCGGAACTGCACAACGTCCGCCATGGTCGAGCTGGGTACGAGAGGACTCGGAGGTAATGGAGCTAAACGATGGAGGAGGGCTTCACTCTCGGAGACGGCTTTAGGGCGGCGATACAGAAAGGTTATGAAGAAACGAACAGAACGTCGTAAATGACTTTTGCTTATGGGCCGGCCCATGAAAGATACTTAAAATGTTGAGCCCAATTCTTCGCTATTTTTCCATGTCTTGTTCTTTTTCTTTTCGAATTTGAGATCCATTCATCAAATTATTTGCAAATAAATCATTCTTTAAAAAAATTCGATGGATGGAATTATTTCTTAATATTTGATATACTTATAAATATATTCAGCTTTTTCTATTAATATTTTATTTAATTTATATTAAATTTTGTAAATATCTTTGCTGGACGTAAACAACTAAATGTGACTTTATTATTTTCACACATTTTAGTATATTCACATTTGGTTTATAATTTTCAATCTTTTTTTTTTAATAATTATAATTTAACGATCATAATTTTTTAAAAATGCCTCATGTAAATGAAATTTATCACAATATAAATAACCATTCAACAGAGTAAGATAAAAAGAATAATGCATAAGGGAGAAGGGCAAAAAGATAGAATATTTGTAATTTATACATTTTATAAATATTTTGGAAAAGACACTTTTATCCCCTAACAAACTTTCAGATATTTCCCACTATCACATTTAATATGTTTGAAAAAAGACATGAAAAAGTAAGGAATAATAATTCCCCCTAAAAAAAATAAAATAAAACTCCATAAAGTCGTGATAAAATAATAATAATAATAAATAAATAAAGCTTGTCTCGTCTCGTGCGAGGGCTTGCTTCTTAATTTGTATTATTTTAATGGTATTATAAAATAAATAAAACTTGACTATAGATATAACAAAATAAGGAGGCTTTATACCAAAGTTTTATTATAAAATGATTTCATGAAATAAGGAAGTGATGAAGCAGGAAGAACTCGTGAATGAGATATATTTTCTGAGTTTGATTTCAAGTGTTTGGTGGAACCTGCAACATTTTTATATCCGACTGGCTGTTGAGTTCAAGCAAGACTAAGCTCGAGAGACACATCATTAACATCAGAATTCGCAGCTTTACTCAGTATCAATGGCTGGAAAGACCTTAAGCTCAGACATAGAGACATTGTTTCATAGCCAACTCTCTCTACAGCGTTGCTATGACCCAACCTTTTCAAATCTTCATGGCTCTTCGAACTCCCAAAACAATCTTGTTCCTGAAAATAGGAGCATAGTTTATAATAAACTGAACTTAGTTCCGTTTCTTGTTTTTAATATTTCTTGTTTCTTCAACCGCCCAACACACTAAGTATAAAATGTCTTTTTTGGGTTTTTTCTTTTGGGATTTCCCTCAAAATTTTAAAACGACTGCACTAGATAGAAGTTTCCACGTCCTCATAAGGAATGCTTCGTTCCCTACTCCACCCCACTCGGGGGTCAACGTCTTTGCTGGCACACCGCTCAGTGTCGGACTCTGATACCATTTGTAACACCGCTAGCCGATATTATCACTCCCCTCGTGATTTTAAAACACGTCCATAGGAGGAGGGAGAGGTTTCTACATTCTTATAAGGAATGTTTCGTTTCTCTCTCAAACCAATGTGAGGAATCACAAGAAAACAAAATTGGGTTTAAACTAGAAACAAAAATAGTTACTTTAGCAAACAAATCCGAGTGGTTTGATGAAGAATCTTGAATATGAATATGAGAAAGTACAGAGCGAGAGAGTACCTGAACAGTGCACCGTTTTGTTATGTCCTTGAAGATGAGGTAAGAATTTGGTTTCTTCTCTTTACACTTTCTTTGTTCATTTGATATCTCTTGCTTCTCTTTCCTGGAAAAGAAACTTTCTCTGTAAATCGATCTAATGATCGAAAAAAGCATATATCCCCTCTTCTTCCCCTTATCAGCCTAACAACACCCTCCCCTTCCTAAAGTTGCAAACACTGTTCATCATGTATGCATGAGATATAAAATAGTGCTTTTACTATTGCTTGCCATCTAGTGTATGATTCTTTCCTTGAAAGACCTTCTGGTATTATATATATGCCAAACTTCATTGCAGTAATCAAGAGTATGGAGAGAATCACAAACCGAGCAAGTTTCTGATGGATGAAGCGACGTCCATGGAGCTGGTCAGGAAGTTGATGCCCTGGAACCTCATGGTTGTTGAGTTTTTTCACTGTCACAAGGAGCAAGCATATATTATGTTATATTTGCAGTTTTTGACTTAAAAATCTGACTATGACCAGGGTGATCGATGCTTGTTCAAGAATATAAGCATAAACATACAGGAACAGAGGTTGTAAACTTGAAATAAGAAATAGGAATGAAGAACCTTGAGGCGTTTCTTGCTCCTGTTTTGAGCTCCTATACATCTGTCCATGGCAAACCTAAGCATTATTAAACTAATTAAGAACGTTCATAAGCTGCCAGCAGAAGAGGAGAGAAAAAGGGTAACAACGAATCATAAAAAGCTACAAATCTGCACCTGTAGATGGCTTTTTACGTGAGATATGGTAAGACCATTCACATTCATTATCTGTAATACCATCTTTGGAGTAGCTCCTGCAAGAAAAACCAAAAAATGTTTCATTTGAATATCAGAAGAGTAAAAATGAAGAGGAAAAAGAAGAGAACTTGACAGAGATTCATGATGGATTAGCTCAAGCTTACTCTCTTCTCCACCCAGGCGTTCAACTGCATGAACAAAGCAGCGATGGAGATCAGGCGTCCATCTTAATCTGGGCATTTTGGACCGAACATAAGGTCTAACCATGGGGGGTCTGAAGTTGATATCATGGAAACTGCTGCTCAATACTCTCCGCCTAGAAACCCTCATGTTAAGTTGAATAATGATTATGTTGATGCATAAGTCTTGAAGGGGACGTGGAAAAAGACCCTTAAAAAGAGTACCAAGCTCAGTTCAAACCCACTTTATGCCTCATAGAGAGAGAGAATGAAACAGCAGAAGTAGACGATAATAAATAGTATGTGAGATTCTGTTGCATTCATTTGGCCTTTTGTGCTGCTTTTCGCAACTCAGAAGGGACCGTTTAGTCTCCATGGTGTTTGATTGGGAAATGGAAAGTTTGGAGAGGCAGAATTTCTGGCCTGCTCTTTATTCAACTATATCTATGATTGGGTGAAAACAGATGGCTGAAAAAACTGAAAAAGTTGTCCCCAATTTTCTTAGGGGATATAATTTCTTCATTCTGGACATTCTTTTGGTCCTCTTTTCAGACATTCCTTTGGCATCAAGTTACAAAAAAAATGCAGTAGATGTAAGTGTAAGCAACCCAAATCCCACCAATCATATGCTGCAACCAATATACCCAACACCGTTTCTGATAATTCCACAGTAATCAAACTCAAGAATTCTAATGTTTTTACTTTATGAAGATAGATACTTGATCATTAAGTAACGGAGGCGTACAAAAAGCATCAATGGGAGAAATTCATCCATGGATATATGACGAAAGCAGTGCATGTCTTTAAGGAAACATACCAAAAAGCCACTGTTGAAAGCGAGCCTCATAATTCCGGTTGCGACTTTTCATCGAACACCTTATACGCAGTGGGCCTGGAATGCCTCGATGCAACCGTGTGTTGGACACGCAGACCATGCTTAGCAAATAGCATGTCATAATTTCCTCGCACAGTAACACGTCGGTCAGGAAATGGCGCAGTGGGCGTGGACTGGGAAGACTTCCGTTGCAGTTGCGTAAAAGTAAGGTGTAAGCATAGACGTAAGCATAATATATGCAATTTCCATTCCCATAGACGCGAACAAATTTGGGGGGAAAGGAAAATGTGGGCGTCGGTGTTGGGGCTCGGCCTCTGCGGTAAAAGACGGTCTCAAATTGGAGAATATTCTCTGAAAATGGGCATTGGCAGAGGAGCAAGAAACAGATATTGGAATCCTAAGCGAAGGAATTATGGCGGAGTTGGACTTCATACACCCCGTTTGTCCGAATGTAGAAAACCTTTCAAAAGCTGATTCAAATCCATTAATTCTTCGGGACGTTCATTCCTGAAAATCTGAAGAAAGCAAACCAAAGCAGCCAGATGGAGAGATCTCTACACAAAGAACACCAATTTCTGCACAAATCACAGAGGTAAGTCTTTTTTATATTTGTCTACAGGGAATGATGTCGACAAGAACAGATGCCGATTGTATCCAGGCTTCTTTAGACTGATAGATTAAGTAAAATTTTGTAACTCAACCGATTGTTTAAAATCATAAGAACAGAGAAATTTGACTATGCAGGCCATCCTTAGATTAAGATTCAAATACGTCATGTTCTGAAGGTAGAGGATAGGTGTAGATGTCCTCTAACTCTTTCATCCATTTCAATTTAACGTCATGAACACTAGTGATGACAAGATTTGAGATACCGACTCGAGTGGAGGCAGCGAAGTTCCACTTGATGTGGACATGAGGATGTCATTCAGATACCGACTCTACATTCGGCTTCTATTGCTATGCAATCTATGAGCATCTTTTAGAATGTATCAGAAGCACACAATCAATCTGGAACAGGTAGTTGTTTGAAATCCAACTTACTCACAATGCATTCTTCAACCATGTTGCAGTAAATTGATCCACTGTCTCATGGCTTAGAATTTATGAATTCGATATCAATATATGATTTTGGTATGCCATTTATTGCGTTTCTACAAGTATGCGTTGAGAGGTTTGGTTGCAGCTATGTGGGGTCATTATTAATATTTCACTTGATTCAAACAAACCATAGAGAATGGTAGAGGAAACAGCATGGCCCTACAGTTTTGTCTCCTCGTCTTTTCATTTAATGGCAAATGAACATGGTTCCATTTCAAGGAGACTCTTAGTTCGTGAGCCCAAATCTTTTCTCAAAAGGTTGCTTTTTTTTCCGATTTTTGAAGCCCATGGCATCCTTTGTTTTTTCTTTTTTTCTCCTATATTTCTATCACTTCTTTCTCCAATTATTCTTGTATTGACTTATATATATATATATATTGTTCAATTATTTATTATTGTTTCTATTCTTAGTTCTTCCCATAAATGAAAATTAAATCAAAATTACATCTAATTACGAAAAACTAATAATAAGATAACATTTTTCATGCAATACAACACATATATTCTACTTATAGACATTGTTTTCACAGCATTATACAAAACTTTGGTCTCTCCTAAAAAAATTTAAAGATTAAACTTGTAACTCAATTAAATATTTAATAATAAAAAAAGGGTAAGTTTTGGAAAATATATTGAAAAGGGAGTTCGTGTTGTCTCCCCCTGCAACTGTTGTAGGCGTGCGACACTTGGGTATGATCTCGCTCTGCAACTCCTTCATCCTCTCCTCTAGAGCGAAGTTACTATTTCCTTTCTCCTTTTTGGGGGAAAGAATTCCTTTGAATATCTGGTGTGTTTTGTGGGGTGCACACCAACTGTTTGTAGAAAGTTCTCAAAGATGTGTGATATAAAGAAATCAAATTTGAGATAGAAATGTTATTAATCCAAGCAGTGTTCAAAGTTACTAACATATCGTATGTACCCTACATTTATCTGCCATGTCTATTTCACCATGCTCTTGCATATCTCTGATTGTGGTGTCGGATTAAGCACTCTGTCCAAGTGATGCTTCGTGTTGGTGATTTGGAACCCTCTATCAAGTTTTATGAGAAGGTATCCCATTCCAAGCTTACTATCCTACAAGTTGGATTACTTCTAAGGGCTGCTTTCAATGTTAACACACCTGTAGTGTTTTGAGATCAAGGCCCTATTAAGGATAAAACAAAATATGTTTTTGAAGACTTGTTAATACACTCAACCATGGAAATTATCAAGCATAATCATGAACAAAACGAGTCCTCCTCTTATTTGTATGTTCTATGTTTTGTAGGTTTCTAGGAATTGCATTTTTCATCTTCCAGGACAAGCCAAAAGTAACATTTAGCAAGTGAAATCCTTAACAGAAAGAAAGCTTAATCCGTGCACCTTCCATTTTGATCAAGTTATACATATACAAGTCTTCCTATAACCATGGATATTGCTAAAAGAATGATGAAGTGAGAATGCCAGGGAAGGATTCTGCTAAAAAAAAAGTTTATCCTTGTTGCAACTGACCTCTCATTTATCCCAGAACCCGAATCTGGCATTGCTTTCCGCCAGACCGGAAATAAACGACACACTTTTCTCTGTATAAGATGACGAGTAATCAAACTTTGTCAACTGGATAACATCCAAGAACTCGGAGAAACCTTGCAAATTCCTGCAAGATAATGCTTTTCTGTAAGGCCTTGGTAAAAAAGAAAATTTGTTCTTAATATTAGATGGTTGCCTTTCTTTCTAGGCAACTCAAAAGTTGATATTTAAAAAGCATGACATTACGACTACTGAAGTGAGAAATATAACACATGACTGCTGGTTGGAATGTACAATAAGATCCTTACAAATGAAGAGTGGAAAATTAACCTTCCCTTAACCCACAAATTATAATGGACAGACCTGTAGATGTGCCATAGCACTTTGAGCTCGGGGTTCCATCATTGAAGCTTCAAAGTCTATGTAAAAGAGATAATCAAAATATCTGCCAACAGCAAGATGGTAAGCTTTCATCATAAACCTTTTAACCCGATCATAAGTTGCCTTTTAAGAAATAAAGACTAAAGCAGTTGTATGTGGACAAGCTAAAAGCTTTTATAGCCTTCCAATGGTTATTGAGTATTAACTTTTATTAATGACAATTTTCTAGTCAACTTCTAGCATTAACTACATGTTTAATGATGATTGTTCCAAAATTTCAGTATACAGTAAATTCTTACTCACTTTGCTCTTCCTTCATTGGAATCATCTACAACCCTTAGAGGACGTTGTTTCTGCGGACGACTCTCTATCTGAATGACTCCAAATAATAAGGCTAAAACTGTAAGCTTGCCAGTCACTTAAAGGCATAACAAGAATAAGTAAAATCTAACTTCAAGCATACCTTGGTCAAATTAATCTCCCGCAAGGCAAAGACTGCCAAGGCCTTGAATAGAACACCGGGTCCTTCCTCAAGAGTAAAGACAATGCTGGTCTGATGGGAAAAAAGAAAATGTATTAAATATGTATAAAGAAAGGCCATAACTAACTACCCAAGAAAATTTTACCTTGTACAGCTTATCTGTTCCCGGAATAACGGGTTCTCTTGCAAGAATCAGAAAACGAGTGATGTTATTATCATTATCCTGGCCATTTCAAATCAGGGACATATCACCTTCAAGTTCCATAAAACAGCTGGTATGTATGAACATAAACACCTAAAATGTTGCTATACGGATAATGTTTATAAGACAAGAGGAGATTACAACTTGTTCAATCAATTGTCGTATCCTGAAACATATTTTACTGCTGCGGTAGAAAAATTGTTAGAAGCTTTCATATTAAATTGGTTATTTGACAATATTATCTGTTCCTCCAGTTTTTGTCTGTTAGAGAAGGGAGAAGTACTGCAATGCAAGAGAATGAAAAATTTGACTGAGTAAATTAAAAGAAGTTTTACCTGAACATTTTCTGCAAGAATATTGAGCCCATAAATTTCTGCAGCTCGAGCACTTGCAATCGCTCCAGTGTCTCTTTTTCCACTAGAGGCCACAATCTATATAGAACTTCATAGTTGTTACTTTAAAGAGCTCTAATGTAACGCAAGATTAAATTTCTAGGAAAGAAAAATGGAGATTCCAGAAAGAACCTGAGCAGCTGTGGCAGTGTCTTCACTATTAATCCTCATAACGCCAAATGCGCTCAATGTCATCTCACATTGATCAAAAGCCTGTAGACAAGGTTGCCATAAACATATCACCAAAAGCAAGGACCAAGATCTTCCAATCTTTGAACCTCCCCATATATCAGTATGCACCAAGACTATGGTTCGAGAGAAAACAAAGACTATATAATACAGTATAAACAATAGGACCCACATGAGGATGGCTCAAAACATTCTTCAGTTGCTCCTTCCTCACACCTTGCAATCCCAAGAGACAGTGGTTAACTTGCAATTGCACTTCCCCGGCAATGTGTAACCTATGTCGAAGGAGTAAATCATAATTACGATGATTGCTTCCACCAACAGAGTTCTCAATTGGAAGAACAGCCTTTTCAACAAGCCACAATTCAACTGCCTGCAGAAAATGATCTTCACATTGTCAAAGGAACAACAGCAACAAAAAATACATCAAGTTAGAAACAAATCTATGAACCTTAAATGCAGCTTCAAAATCGTCACATGGAACTGTCTCACACTTTGGGTATGCTTTCATTGCAGCAATCTCACTATATGATCCAGGTGAACCCTACAACATGCAAATGAAGCAATGACAACTGTGCCATCGACATTCGAAAAGTAATGAAAGAACCCACGAGCTTCACCTGATATGCAACCCGAACTTTAGAACCGTCATTTGGAGAATGAAGATCGGTTGCAGATAAGGGTTCTGAATTGTTCGTGTAATGCTTAAGGATTAGCTCGGGGGACAACAACACAGAACAAAAACTAGGGAGTAGCAAAGCAGAACTATCAAACAATCTATTTAAATGAGAACTTTACTCCCAGAAAAGAAAAAAAAAAAAAAAAAAAAAA